GTCTAATGATAATACCATCAAATAATTGCAATTAAGTGAACTAATTACAGTTAAAATGGTCTTTTGCTTGATTAAATACATTTTTGATTGAGTGTGCAGTATGATTTTTTTATATTCCAAGGCTCCTCCTATATGTAGATGAATCCTCTAAATGGTGTTCTTTAATAAATAAATAAAAATTATTAATTAAAAACATAGAAATTAAATATTTTCCTTTTTTATCTGTACATTTGTTACATAGAATAAACGATGAAACCATTATAATCTAAAACCTATCCACAAAACCAGATTAGTATTGCCTGGCACTGCTCTGTTAACTATAGGGACTGTATCTTCTACCGAAACGGATGACACAAAATTAATTTTCATAATAAAATAGTATTTACATGAACATTTGCACTAATATAGTAAAATAAAAATGTATATAAAATGCTTACAGAAATTACACTGTACAGTCGTGCCAAACAGTAGCCTATCCTGTAGTTGTAACAATATTCACAATATATATAGCACGACTTCTAGTACCTTTTGCTTAAATATATTATATAATCCTCATATATAATACACTAAAATGATATTTCCTCGGGCTGCTCATATATATATATATTTCAAGTGTCTGTAGTGATATGTAAAGTGGCTGCACAGAAGTAGCGCAGGAATGGCGCTCTTGATTCGCCCTTTAATCTCTTTGCATTGGCCACAGCGCTTTAGCTCAGCTACAGCTAGCTAACGGCAACAAACACAGCACAGCAGCCGAGGCGTGAGTCTGGAGCTTTCGCCAAACGCAAACTCTGTATCCAGGGCTAAAATGGCCTCTCTAGGAGAACCTGTGCGTCTGGAAAGAGGTAAGCCGCTCACTGAAACACTTTCTGGTGCATGTAACGCTCAGGAGGTTGTGTAAATCACGCTTTTTGCTCTTAACATCCCGCTGTCACTTCATGAGGATGGATTAGTGGACGACAGCGAGTTAACTTAGCTGCCATTCATTGTATCAAATCATTCGTAATATTCAATCAATTCCACGACGTCTAGGAAAACGTATAAAATGTAAAGCGTGAATCTTTTGTCTGTCGTTAAAGCGGCGTGTTTACGTTCAAGAACAACACGAGGCTAACTTAGCTGTCAGAAGCGGTAATCTTTTGTGAGCACTGTTAGCATGGTCACTCGAGGACAGAGTTAATATTAGAGATCAGGGTATTTGATGGTTTCTGCTGGTTTAGTACAGTCTTTTAGTGACATCCTGACCAGCCAGCATCTTATTTGCAGTCCAAGTAACAGTTTATGGGACTTTATATTGTGAAGAATGAGTGTTGGCTAGTAGATTAGCAAAAGCACTGATTTATATGATCAGAGGTCTTTACATCTGTTATTTTGATATTCGTATTGTGTATTTTCTGAATGAAGAAGCTATTACTGTGGCTGAAGCGGAGAACCAAACATGTCTTTCCTTTAGAAGTTATTTAATTTTTTTAGGTTGATTAACAAATGACATTTCTTATTAGTTGTAGAGACGTTTGATACCAGTACATGCAAACCACGGTGGCATAATAATAATACAAATAAAACATGAGGCAAACAATTCTTTTTGTTTGTTTTATGGAGAGAGAATTACATTCTGATATATTTACATAACCATTTAATGTTTTTTTTTATTCCGCATAGATGTTTAATCAAAGACAGCATCTTCATTTTGAATGATGTAAATGATTATCCAAGGCTTTGGTCATGCCCTCATTGTTTTGCGTATGCTCTTTTCCAGACATATCTCGTGCCATTGAGCTGCTGGACAAACTCCAGAGAACAGGGGAAGTGCCTCCCCAGAAGCTGCAGGCGCTGCAGAGGGTTTTGCAGAGTGAGTTCTGCAATGCTGTACGGGAGGTAAGTGTGCCAGCACCACATTCATGCATTCAAATGAAATACAAGTCCTTACGTAATCTTGTAATTCGTGAGTGGAAAAAGTGGGGACTGTTTTGTCTCATTCATCTGTGTCGGAGTAAATCTGGCAAAAATGAAACCGACATTACTTTGAGGTGTGTAATTCAAGTGTTATTGTAAATGAAATATTGAGCATAATTTTAGGCTTTTTGGTTGCCCATGATGATTTTGAAAAACGGCGTATACCGCAGGCACAGTATAACGGAAAATGTTAGTGGTTTTGAAACGGTGAAAATTTCAAAGCGCGGTTTACCTTGATACCGGTAATCGGCCCATGCTTAGTACATTTTATAGATTTCATCATCATATGAAGTGAAAGCAAGAAAAGCTGTTTAATAGCTTTAACTGTGAGGTTTCTCTCTATAACAACGCAGATACTGGATGAAGAGAGGTGTGTAATCTGGATCTGTATAAATGGTGTTAATTGTGTTTGAACTGGTTTTGAGGAGCGTACATCTTTAGAAAGCGTCATGTTTGCTCAGAGTGATGAAAGGCTGTGTGAAAGCCATTATATGGAGATGGTTTTTGCATGTTTTATGCAAATGACTAACCTTGTGCACACGGTTACTCATTTAGAATACTCCAAACTCATTAACATTAGAACACGTTTAAAAGCAAGTTCGTGTCAGTTCGGTTGTTTTTTCTTCCTGTTAGAGCTTCCCCTGTGCATACAAATATGAAACAATCCACACAATTATTACAGTTTTTCCTGAATTGCTAAAACACTAAACCCCAATCTCTGAACCAGATTCTCACTAGCTTAAACCAGTTTGTCGAATAAAGCACTCCTTCTGCTAAACCTTAAACACGTTCAGGCAGTTAGGCTCTATTATTAATCTCATGCACACTTTTTGCAAAACTAAACACATTCTCATTCACTTAAACTGTGATGCATTTGTGCTGCAAAATGCTAAACACAAGCGGCAATGTTAAACACAACTAAAGCACAGTTGTCATCGTTTTAACACAACAATTCAAAATTGTTCACACTTCTTTCTAATGATGTGATCAAACCAACTGTACAAAATATGAGCCAGTTCAGAGTGCACAAGTGGCACAGGTGACTGAATGATGATACGAACAATAGATGGAAACAATCCGAGGAGGAAGAGTACATGTAAGGAGAGGAGGAAGAGGATGATGAGAGAAAGAGTAAGGTTTAGAGAGTGTTATCAAGGCTGGATCTGTCAGACCAGAGGATTTTTTTCTCTTTGTCTAGCAAAAAAGACTACATTACTTGTGATGTGGACAAAGTCCTCAGGCCGGACTCAAGCACAGAGACATCATGCTGAGACAGAATGAACCTCTCATTGACCCTGATGTTACAATTGCACAACTTACAGTATTTGAGTATACTGTAACAAGCTATTAATTTAGAGTTTTATTTGACCTTTTTGGCCTTTGCAGTTGAACTGCAGTATTTTTGCAGTATCCAAGTGCTGAATATATACAAACATTCAGTACTATTCAATATTCAGCACAATACTATTCTTGCAGTACATACAGTTGGCCTATACAATATATTCACCTTACTCAGTTGCAATAACTATACTTTTTTACAGAATTGCAAAATTGTTTACTCCATACAATATACTTTTTTTCTGTAATGTTCTGGATGCTGTGTTCTCCATTTTTCTCTGTAGTGTCTAATGAATGCTCTGTAGTGTTTTCTTTATTGACTCGTGTGTGTGTGATCTGAGAGCACTGTTTGATTTTAAGTGCAAGTGAAATGGTTTTGCAGAGATTGTTTGATTTTGATGGAAGAGTCAGAGGTTTCGTGAATTTAGTTTGAGTATTTGGATTTGTGTTTAAGGTTTTGAGAAAATGAGTGATGGTTTCAAGAAATGTGTTTTAGCAATTCAGAAAAACTGAAATTAATGAGACCCACTGTCTTAAAAATGCGTTGAACATGGTGTATAATGCTGGGGGGAACAAGGTGTGATGAAGGTACCAAAGAACGACATAGACCAAAAGAAAAAAATAGAGCAGACGGAAGTTACTTCATGCTCACAACCCCCCACCTCTCCCCTTTCCACTCAATTCGTTATAACTGAAATCTCCCTCATGCTCATTAGAGTAGTACATGGGTAGTTATTGTTGAGCAAAAGGACTGGATACTGGATATTGATTCTGATGTCCACAAATAGCATCAATCCATTTGTCTGTTTCAGACTGGGTATAAAACTCAGCTGTAGTGTTCTGTTGCACATGTAGTGAATCTAAGACTGTTGGCACTTGTCTGGTCTCCTCCCTGCTGCTTGGTCATCTGCCGCGCTTACTGAAGACTCAGAAGTCTCAGCGCAAGTGATGCTCACAGCAGAAATGCTGTTCTTTGCCTTGCATGAGAGCCTAGAATAAAGCAGGGGTTTCTGAAAGCAAAGATTTGTGGAAAGATTTATTTGCATAGTTAATGAAGATTATCATACTCCTGATATTGTCTGCAAATCTAGGCACTCATCTGAAATGATTAGGTCTATCATAAACTGTATTTTAAATTTTCAGCAACAATCTAAGAGTTTTTTTATATATATATATAAATAATATTGTCTTGTCACTGTTTATTTATTTGTAGGGATGCACTGATTAGGTAATTATTTTCATGTTACAGCCGGTAACTGATAAATGTTAAAAATCTACAGTACAGTATAGAAAATGGATACTCATTTTGAGATATGCTAAATATTAGGTCTATCATAAACTGTATTTTAAATTTTCAGCAACAATCTAAGAGTTTTTTTATATATATATAAATAATATTGTCTTGTCACTGTTTATTTATTTGTAGGGATGCACTGATTAGGTAATTATTTTCATGTTACAGCCGGTAACTGATAAATGTTAAAAATCTACAGTACAGTATAGAAAATGGATACTCATTTTGAGATATGCTAAATATAAAATTTAGCTGTAGTATTAAATTATTACTATTTTTAATGATTAATTTTGAGTGATGGCAAAGGTAATTTAGAATTCAGAAAATTCATCTTTGCCATTACAGGAATAATGCCTTTACTCCAGTCTTCTGGGTCAGAAATCATCACCCTTCAGAATCAAAATGATCCTTTAGAAATCATTCTAATATAAAACTATTTGAATTAGAAATCTGTTGTATAACATTATAAATACAGTGGGTAGGCTATAGAAAAGAATCACCCCCCTTCAAAATAATCACATTTTGTTGCTTTGCAGCCTGAAATAAAGACGGACACTGTTTTTTTTTTATCCAGCTGTATTTACTAGAGGTCGACCGATGTATCGGTTTTGCCGATTAATCGGCAAATTTAGAATTCAGAAAATTCATCTTTGCCATTACAGGAATAATGCCTTTACTCCAGTCTTCTGGGTCAGAAATCATCACCCTTCAGAATCAAAATGATCCTTTAGAAATCATTCTAATATGCTGATTTGGTGCTTAAGAAAAATTTCTTATTATAATCAATGGTGGAAAAAAATTTTTTTGAAATTTTTTTTTTTTTTTTGGATAAATAAAAAGCTTAAAAGAATAGCATTTATTTGAATTAGAAATCTGTTGTATAACATTATAAATACAGTGGGTAGGCTATAGAAAAGAATCACCCCCCTTCAAAATAATCACATTTTGTTGCTTTGCAGCCTGAAATAAAGACGGAGACCATTTTTTTTTTATCCAGCTGTATTTACTAGAGGTCGACCGATGTATCGGTTTTGCCGATTAATCGGCACCGATAGTTGATTGCTGGAACTATCGGTTATCGACAAAACTCCATGCCGACAGTTTTCCGGGTTGCGTCCATTGCTGGAGCGGCTGAGAAGGGTCTGCTGTCATTACACAGTGCGAGAGCGGCCTCTAGTGGTTAAATTAACACTGGCAGCACGTGCTATTTGTTTAGACACGTGATACTGCACGCTGAACAGAGCGGGAAACTTCAGACGCGGATTTAAATGCAGCCGACAGAAAATCCTGCCACGCCACAGAGCGCCATTCACATAGTTTTCCTTTAACTGGCATTATATTGGTCCCGAATCGTTGTTAATGTTCATAATGAATTGTGTATTGTGCATTTTCAGCAAAACGTTTGTCTTTCTGTGGCTCTAATAAAGTCTGTGTGCTTTCATTATAGACAATATCCATATGTATATAATTTTAATGCTATAGCCTTTGTGTATATATTTAAAGATGTGCATCTTTAAGCATGACAGTTGAAATGAAATGGTAACACTTTAAAATAAGAGTCCATTTGTAGCATTAAGATTAATGAAAGCTGTGTAAGTATTGTTCCTTGTTAGAGTGTGTTAATTTCAACATTTACTATTACTATTATTATAATTTGTTTACTACTACTACTAGTATGGTTAAGTACTGTTTTTGTCAATAAAGCACTATTTTAGTTTTTGACTAGTTTTAAAACTATCGGTTAATTAATCGGTATCGGCCAGTGTGGTCCAACCTAGCTATCGGTATCGGCAAAATCCATTATCGGTCGACCTCTAGTATTTACAGTGAAAATGAATCACCCCCTTGTGTCAGTATTTTGTTGAACCACCTTTTGCTTTAATGACAGCCTTTAGTCTGTTGGGATATTTCTCTGTCTCTACTAGCTTTGCACATCTAGACTTTGCAATATTTGCCCAATTTTCTTTGCAGAACTGCTCAAGTTCAGTTAAATTTGATGGTGACTGCAGTCCCTGCTGCAGAGAAACACCCCCATAACAGATATGGGGACTGTTAGGAGACCATGATGGTCAGAGGCCAGTGGGTGAATTTGGCCAGGATGCCGAGGTCACACCTCTACACTAAAGACATCCTGGGATTTTTAATGACCACAGAGAGTCAGAACCTCAGTTTAACGTCTCCTCCAGTCTTGGGCTGCAGGGCAATTATGGCCTTGCCACCCATAGTTGATTGTTTGCTTCAGTTGCACTACCAAGGACTGAAATGCTCCAGGAAAGCTCTTTTCATGCTGAGCTAATCAAAATGACCACAGCTGATCACAGTTGAAAGTCAAATGGATTTGCGTGCCATTGAGAAGGTGATTAGCTACACCTGAGGGGATTATCCTTTTTCCAACTCATTGATTCCGTTTTTTTATTTAATTATTATTATTTTTTTTTTTTTTCTGACATGTCGGTGTTAGGCCTATATCTTACACTTGGATGGTATAAGTTGCACTGAGTAAATACAGCTGAATAAAACAAAAAATAAAGCTTCTTCATTTCATGCTGCAAAGCAACAAAATGTGATTCTTTTAAAGGGGGGTGCTTCTTTTCTATACCCACTGTATCTTTACTTCCACTTGATAAATGTAATGCATCTTTACTAAATAAAAGTATTAATTACAGTGTATATCAGTCAATTTTAGATAATCAATTATATATCTAATATCGACTGATATTAGTAAATGAACAAAAAATCTAATATCAAATTTCTGATGTAATGTGCATTACTAATTATTTACTACTAATAAAAAACATTGTAAATTATAATAGTATTTTAGTTCAGTCGTTTGAATGTTGTTTTTAAAAAAGGGTACTGGTATTTTTTCTCCTCTCTTTGAGTGTGAGACTTGGAAATGCATCATTAGTTTACTATAAACTTCTGGCCCTTTAATAATATCTGTGCCTACTCAGTCTTATTACACCCAGCCTCTGAATGGACTAACTGTCTTTAATTTGCATGTTTTGTGACACCAAGGTACCCATGTTTTCTCTGGAAATGCTTGTTTAGGCAGTTGCATGTGATGGTGCTTGAGTTAAGTGTTGTACCTAGGGGGGTGCTTCTTTTCTATACCCACTGTATCTTTACTTCCACTTGATAAATGTAATGCATCTTTACTAAATAAAAGTATTAATTACAGTGTATATCAGTCAATTTTAGATAATCAATTATACAGAGGATCCCCAAATCCAGGTGTGAAAAACTTGTTGCATCTTTCCCAAAAAGACTCATGGCTGTATTCGATCAAAAGGGTGCTTCTACTAAATACTGAGCAAAGGGTCTGAATACTTAGGACCATGTGATATTTCAGTTTTTCTTTTTTAATAAATCTGCAAAAATGTCAACAATTCTGTGTTTTTCTGTCAATATGGGGTGCTGTGTGTACATTAATGAGGAAAAAAAATGAACTTAAATGATTTTAGCAAATGGCTGCAATATAACAAAGAGTGAAAAATTTAAGGGGGTCTGAATACTTTCCGTACCCACTGTATATCTAATATCGACTGATATTAGTAAATGAACAAAAAATCTAAAATCAAATTTCTGATGTAATGTGCATTACTAATTATTTACTACTAATAAAAAACATTGTAAATTATAATAGTATTTTAGTTCAGTCGTTTGAATGTTGTTTTTAAAAAAGGGTACTGGTATTTTTTCTCCTCTCTTTGAGTGTGAGACTTGGAAATGCATCATTAGTTTACTATAAACTTCTGGCCCTTTAATAATATCTGTGCCTACTCAGTCTTATTACACCCAGCCTCTGAATGGACTAACTGTCTTTAATTTGCATGTTTTGTGACACCAAGGTACCCATGTTTTCTCTGGAAATGCTTGTTTAGGCAGTTGCATGTGATGGTGCTTGAGTTAAGTGTTGTACCTTTTGTGATGAATGCGTAAAATAGTTGATTGGTAACTCAACAGCTTTGTCTCTTAAACATTTACACTTTGAACCTCTGAATGCTTGCTTGATTCTCAGATAAACATGCATGACTCGGAGTTGAATGCTGAGGCAGTGTGGTGGACGTATAATAAATTAATAATGGCCCTAAATGGAAGATGAAATAGTGGTTTAACATGTGCCAAAGCATCAAAACAAGCCATGTAAAGAGATTGATTTGATACCATATCCTCTTAATGGTGTGGCATTCCACTCACTAATTACAGCTGGTTTAAGGCACACTTGCTGTTTTTATGTGGCTGTTCACTGAAGATCTGATACAGACTAATGTGACAGCCTTTCAAGGTTGAATTATGATTCACAAGTAATTTAGTTGTGACTAAACTAAATGGATCTGGGAAACTGCCTCTTGTTTAAATTGTACATCTGTTTTTGTTTACATGGACGTTTAAGACCGTAGAGGTTGTACTTGTACTGTATTTGTGGGTTTGTGTAATTCACACGGTGTTCTGTCATTTTCAGGTGTATGAGCATGTGTATGAGACAGTGGACATAAATAGCAGCCCAGAGGTGAGGGCGAATGCAACAGCGAAGGTAAGTCACTGTATTTCTTTTAATTGAATAGACGGAATTTTTTTCTGTAACTAACAGTATTCTGCTAACTATTTTTAGCATGACAGTTAATCTCATTATCTGATTGGCTTGGTTGTAATGCCTTCTTTAACACCAGACTGATGGCCTAAAAATATATGAGCATCTTATTTGTGGCATGTGGCCATTCATACTTTTTTGGATATATTTTATTATATGAATAAATAAAATGATTTATTCATAAAATGTCATCTTTATATAATGTACATTTACGCTACCGAAAAAAAAAAAAAGGGTTTGCTAAGGTTTTTTTTTTAATGTTTTGGAACCTCACTAAGGCTGCATTTATTTGAACAAAAATACAGAACAAATATTGAACTATTATTGCAATTTAAAATAACAAATTTATACAATAACTAAAAAATATTTTTTTTACATGAATATATTTGAAAATGTATTTTATTTAGCAGCCTTTACACCAGTCTTCAGAAGCGCTGCACAATTAATCATTAAAAGATCACAATCTCGATTCAGACACGCAATCTCATTTCTAATTGACAACGATTCATTACAAATTATTTTGATAAGTTAAGAATCGTGGGAGATTCGTCATATCTATTTGAGACAAAAAATTTTGATTTTCAATTTATCCAGATTCATGCAGCGCCAGACTTCAGTGTCACATGGTCCTCATTCTAATATGATTTGGTGGTCAAGAAACATTTCTTAAAGGTATTGTTCACCCAAAAATGAAAATTCTGTCATTAATTACTCACCCTCATGTTGTTCCAAACCCGTAAGTTCATTTTCGGAACACAGATTAGGATATTTTTGATGGAATCTAACAGCTCTCTGACCCTCTCATAGACAGCAAGGGTACTACCAGGATCAACGTCCAGAAACGTAGCAAGGAGATCGGTAAAATCATCCATGTGACATCTGGGGTTCAACCATATGCGGAGGAGACTAATTGTTGAATAAAGTCGTTTTTTTTTTCTTTTGCACTCAAAGAGTATTCTCGTAGCTTCGTATAATTACGGTTGAACCCCAGATGTCACATGGATTATTTTTCCGATCTCCTTGCTACATTTCTGGACGTTGATCGTGTAATGCCGAGTTCACACTGCATGATTTTCAAACTCGTCGGATCGCCGTTGTTTTCACACTGCGGGACTATCTGGGGTAGCATTCAGTTGCTGCTGTGTTCACATTGCACGATGGATCGGAGACAGGGGGTTTCACATTGCATGACTTCACAATAGGAAGAATCGCCGACAGCTCTGTCTGGTCCGCAAACTACGTTTCACAACAAAACACACGCGAGAAGTGATAAGGAAATAACGCGAGAACCCATGTGCGTCAGACCGGAGTTCTCGCTAGCAAGACTGTAATTATAAAAAAAATATATATATATATAGCCCACAAATTGTCTGTGAGCTGATTTCCAGCTACAAGGAGAAAAAGAAAAACAGATTATGCAGGAGGGAGATGCAGGGAACAGGGATTGGGTGTTCTGCAAAGAGAGTTGGAGGTAAATAATTTTGCAGTAACTGTTATGCTGATGTTGTGGCTGGTCAAGCAAATGTTTGTGCTTGTGATAATTCACACTGCATGATTGTCTCTCGCGTGAACGAGCACCAATTTGCCTCTGATTTCGGGCATTTGTCGGCGATTTCGCAAAACCTGTCGGCGAGTGAAAAATCGGGCTAAAATCGTGCAGTGTGAACTCGGCATAAGGACCCTTGCTGTCTATGGGAGGGTCAGAGAGCTGTCAGATTCCATAAAAAATATCTTAATTTGTGTTCCGAAGATGAACGAAGATCTTACGGGTTTAGAACAACGTGAGGGTGAGTGAATAATGACAGAATTTTCATTTTTGGGTGAACTGTCCCTTTAAGAATGTCATAGATGAAAACTGTTGTTCTGTTTAGTATGTTTAAATTTATTATTATTAATGAGAAGTTTAAAAGAACAGAATTTATTTAAAATATAATTTTTTTTGACCAATTTAATGTGTTCTCGCTAGAAAAATATAAATTTCAATAAACAAAAATTCTACTGACCCCACACTTCTGAACAATAGTATGTACATATTATATATGTTCATATAAAATGTGTGTATAAGCACATTTATTACTACTACAAGATTAATAAATTGTGTTTATGCCACTCATAAGTGTTTGATTTATGACTATCTTCACTCCATTTCCAGGCTACAGTGGCTGCATTTGCAGCCAGCGAGGGTCATTCTCACCCACGTGTGGTAGAGCTCCCTAAAACAGAGGAAGGACTGGGGTTCAACATCATGGGTGGGAAGGAACAAAACTCACCCATCTACATCTCCCGCGTCATTCCTGGAGGCATCGCCGATCGGCACGGTGGCCTGAAGAGAGGAGACCAGCTGCTGTCCGTTAATGGAGTGGTATGTACATAGCTATAGCTTTGTAGACCAACATACTTCACATTAACAGGCACAAATAATTTATAATATTTCATAATACATTTTATTTTGACTTTATTTATTTATTTATGACTGTTTGAAATCGATTTTATAATAGATAAGTAGAATAATTTGTGAGAAGAACGTTTGATTGATGCATATGTAGGCTGAATGAAGTCAAGCTGTAATCGTATTATCTTGGACACTCGTGTGATTTCAGTTGGACTAAAGCATTTACATGACATTAAAAAAAAAAAAAAATGATTGCTGCTTTTTTTTTTTTTTTTTTGCTGAATTTGAACTTTTAAAGTGCATGTAAACTTTTTCTGTCTTTCAGAGTGTAGAAGGAGAGCACCATGAGAAAGCTGTGGAGCTGTTGAAGGCTGCTCAGGGTACAGTGAAGCTGGTGGTACGGTACACCCCTAAGGTCCTAGAAGAGATGGAGTCGCGCTTTGAGAAGTTGAGGTCTGCCAAACGCCGGCAACAGAACAACTTCCCCCAGTAGGGCGTCTCGCCTGAGCCCTCCACCCCTCCCATCTCTCCTTCCCTCTCTCTCACTTTCTCTGTCATTGTCTTTAATTCTTCTGCCATCTGTCTTCCTCGTTCACACTCGCTCACCCCCCCCTTCTCCAGCCAGGGATTAGCCACATGTTTGGCACTCCTTTTTGTGAAAATTTTCTAAATCCTCACCTCCTCAACAGTTTTTTAACAGTCTTTTCACACACTTCTTTCTCATAACATGAACACTACTACACTGGCTCTGGATGTTGTCATGTAGACATCACACACACATGTATTATTGGTGCATAACTAAGAATGTATTGTCATTTGGGATGTTGATTAGTTAGATATGCAAGGGGACCATTGCAATGTTCAACTCCTGAGGTCATCTGAATGAAAATGTCAAAAAAGTGCCTCAAGAGATTTACAAAAAAGCCCCCACTACATCCCATCGTAGGCTGTGTTTTATGGTCCAAACACAAAATGAGTGAACACTACAACCATGTTAAAATGCTAAATTACTGTAAGTTTCATCATCTCAGAATAACACATCATTGAGTGAAGGTTTTATGATGTATTATCATGTGCTTTTCTTATTGTTTGCCCACAGAAAAAGGAAAAGTCCACCAGAAATAAAAATAAATAAATAATAACATCTCACTTTGAGTCTCCAGAGCGATAAATGGCAGAGCGGTGACACAAGCATCCCATCAGTACTGCTGTTTTAAACGCAAAATGTCAGCTGTAAATATACTCCTGTACAAAAAATGCCAGACCGATATCGCTTACTGACCCAAACTGATTGACTCTTCGCATCATGTTTACAGTACAAACTGACATTTTTTTCTTTCATGAATGTGTGGGAAAAATGTACATTAACTGGTATATCAGCTCAATTGAGTTCAATATCAACCTTTATCAACAAGAATATTAAACTATTTGGGTTTGTTTAGACTCTTTTAGAGCCACAAAACATGTTACATACACTCCTGATTGCTCCATTTAAACAGTCAGCTTTTGATTGAAAATATGTGAATGGAGTGTTTATGAATAGTTCAACCAAACATCAGTTCAGAGGAGATGCTTGTGGCACTGTTTGGGTGTTAGATAAATAGAAAATGAATTGGAAAATACAATTTTTTTTTGTAACATATGCCCCTTAAAGCACACAGAAACAATGAAGCAGTTACCTAGCTATTATTCAGGCTTGCCTTCCAGTTATTGTTTGTAGAATTTAAGATTTTAATTTAAATCCTCACAGCAGAAACACTTAAGTTTAAAACCATAAGGAGAATTGTATTGTTTTATGGCTGTTTTATCGTTTGTTGTTTCATAACACTTTCTGAGTGTTAATGTGGCACTTGCCTTTCAGTCAGCTGTGGGTCCATATGTTACACCCAATTCACGCTGATCATTACAAAGATCTGCATCATGTTTCAGAATCAGTTCACTTAAATGGTTATATTAGCATATCATGAGGTAGCAACTGAGCATAATGCTAGCAAAACAGCAATGAATGCATAAAGGAATGTTTAAGAATACCAACCTTATTCACCATTCATTATATGAGACGTCTAAATGAAGCTCAAGAGAAATTGTGTATTAATTGGTGCTGTCATTTTCATTTTCTTTCATTTATTTTGTCCTATTTTTTTTTTTGAAAAGTCAGTAATTAATTCACGCATATCAATGTCTACAGGGAAAGAGATGCAGATCTCGAGCTGAGATTTGATCAGGTCTTCTCCAGATACTTTAGTGGCTAAAAATGCAGTCCCGTTACATTCATTACTGTTTTAGAAAAGAAAAAAAAGGAATTTCATTCACTTTAACCAAACTAGCACGCATTTAGCTAAACTCCAGAGGGCGCTGCAGGACAACAGTGTTACAATAGTTTGCTGGTCTCAGTCTGCACAATTTAATTACGTAAAATGATCAAAACTGCGAATACTTGCAATTTAATAGTTTTGAAAATTATAAATAATTACAATCTCATATAAACCCTCAGTAACAGGAAACATAGGTTAAAAGAAGCAAGCAACACAGAGTCGCAACATTCGCATCCATCAGTCTTGTGTCGTAATGTAGTGGCACACGCTCACAGACCAATGAACACTCGAGGGATCTGTCAGCCCAATTCAGTTTCTTGTCAGCGTTGTCATCGACTGTGTTCCGTCTGTCTCGGGTTGCATCTTTAAGACGGAGCACGCACGTCACCGACACCAAAAGCCTTACTGATTAATAACATGTAATATAAAAACAATCCCTCTAGAGAGTTTGAACTGTGTTCATGAAGAAATATCGGCCCGCTGACCGTATTAATGAATGGATCTGTCATTCAAACGCATCTCCTCAGGCTGTTTACCAGCCGCGTCCATCGAGTCAGAAGCTCAATTGAAAAATATTATAAAGGCTGGATTCGTTTTTTAAATTATGGATTAAAAACTTTAAAAAGTGTTAAATGAAATTATAATAATAAAAAAGTTTTATTTCCACATTCACACACATACGGTTTGTAATATTTTGGCCAATACGTAAAACCAGTTTATGTGTAAACAATGAAAGCAATACGGGTGTAACGTTACACAAGGACAGAGGCGCAGCTGCTAAACTTCAACATGGAGCAGCCCATCCACGGTCATTCTGGCACCTCGGCCATGATGGCATGTCTGGGCCTCATTGCAAACATTTCATTCTCTCAAACCCGCCACCAAATTGCCGTTGGAGAAAATTCCAGAACAAAGCCATGCGGGCCAGTCATGCTTTCTGCTCTCACTGAGTTGACGCTTCCAGATGGACTTTGTTACATTAATACCAGCAGCCTGTTGATGCTGGGACATACTTTGAACCGCGTGAGAGCCTAAAGCAGGGGTGCCCAAACTCGGTCCTGGAGGGCCGGTGTCCTGCAGAGTTTAGCTCCAACTTGCCTCAACACACCTGCCTGGAAGTTTCTAGTATGCCTAGTAAGAGCTTCATTAGCTGGTTCAGGTGTGTCTAATTGGGGTTGGAGCTAAACTCTCCAGCACCGAGTTTTGGCACCCCTGGCCTAAAGAATGCATTTATAGCCGTGCCATTGCTGGTGTAGACAGGAGAGTGCGAGACACCTGTCTGCCGCTCTCAGTGTGACTGTGACTGGGGTTTCTCAGCTAATTAATAGCGTGTGTTCGAGTGACGCATTTTGACGTGTCGTAGTTCAAAGAAATCTCTAGAAATTAGGAGAGGATTGTAACCAAACAATGGGATTATTATTTGTGTGTTGGGGAACCGAGTTTTGGCACCCCTGGCCTAAAGAATGCATTTATAGCCGTGCCATTGCTGGTGTAGACAGGAGAGTGCGAGACACCTGTCTGCCGCTCTCGGTGTGACTGTGACTGGGGTTTCTCAGCTAATTAATAGCGTGTGTTCGAGTGACGCATTTTGACGTGTCGTAGTTCAAAGAAATCTCTAGAAATTAGGAGAGGATTGTAACCAAACAATGGGATTATTATTTGTGTGTTGGGGAAAAGCCTATAACTCGCTAAAATGTGAGTGCAAAAGAGGAATACGTAATACAGTATTTAAATGAAAACCAGACAACATAAGCATCAACAAAAGTTTTAGCTTTATTTAGCATGTTTTGCATAACATCACATGTGGAAGGAAAATACTGAAATCACTAGACCCTACAGCATGGATCTTAAATACAATAACATGAAATGAAACAAAATGAACAAGCAATAAAGAAAAGCGAATCACACCTAAGCAACGGACCATGGGATGTGAGTGAGAAATGGGGAGCACAAGCAAATGAAGAAAACCACTGACATATTTCTTTGCTCTGTCATTTGATCACGGACATGTCATAGGATCAGTTTCAGGACAGAAGACAGAAAGAGGACAGTGTCACAGTTTCTCTAAACCCATTACGTCTCTCATTTCTTGCTGTCTTCTTTTGTGACTTGAGCTGCAATGAAGTGAAAGAACCATTATTAGATTACATCCTGCATTTGGGGGGGGGAGTAATTCTACAGTGGAGTTATCTACCACTGTAGAATTATCTAAAGTTACCTTCGGTGCTGGTGAAAATAATTCATTATACAGCTTTTTACATTTTGTTAATTTTGGTCATATACAACCGTAATGGATATTGTGTTATGATGTTTTATGTTAATTTGAAATTAATTATTCTTTAAAAATGTTTAGATGGAAGTGTATAATCTCAAATGTCCAAAATGTTATACAGGATTACAAACATGAGTTAGTGCACCTGTTGAAATAGTTTAGATATGCACTGCCTTTCAAAAGTTTGGGGTCAATTTTTAAAAAAGAAATGAATACTTTTACAGTTATTATTAAACAATGATGCATTGCATTTATCAAAAGTGACAGTAGAGAATTAAAAACAAAAATCTTTAAAGACTCGGAGAGAAAAAATTGTAAAAAAAAAAAAAATTAAACAGTTCAAGTGTTTTCAACACTGATAATAAGAAATATTTCTTCAAATCAGCATAAGAATGATTTCTTAAGGATCATGTGCTACTGAATCAGCTTTGCCATCACAAGAATAAATTACATTTTAAAATCTATCAAAATAGAAATCAGTTATTGTAAATTGTAATAACATTTCACAATATTACTTTTTTTTACTGTATTTTTTCATCAAATAAATTCAGCCTTGGTGAGCATAAAAGACGTCTTTCAAAATTATGAAAAACCTTACGGACCCTAAACTTTTGAATGGTAGAGTGCTTTAAATGTATGTGCAAAACTAATATGAGTTCTGTCAGTGTCTGGTGGCTCAGAGACCACTGGTGCATCTCATTTTGTTAACTCTGCATCCTTGTGCACTGAAAAAAAATGTTTCATTCATCCAATTAAAAAAATGTAGGGTAATGATTCACATCTATTTTTTTTTTAAATAAATAACTTGCCCTAATTTTTTTAATTGGATGAATGAAACATTTTTTTTCAGTGTGTCCTTTTCTCAGGTCCGTTGCAGGAATCTAAGCTCACAAGACACAAGAGAAAGATTGTAGGAGGAGAATGAATGTGTGCATCAGGTGTTTCGGCAAACTTTTTCATAGGATGTGCACCTGTGCATCCTTTCTCCTCTGAAAATTTCCCCTCTCCTCACAGTGCTTTTAGAGAATTGATTTGTCCTTCATGATGGCAGCATTTGATCAATTTCTGTATTGAGAAACACCCAGACATGCTGGACTTGAGAGGGTGGAGTGCTTTGTTAGAGAAAGTGCAGGCAGTGTGGGTGTGCTGGCAACACATGGGGCACTGTCATGCTTACCTTAGACATATTTCACACAGAGCAAACCTGAGCTTACTGTTTACTCACGATCTGAGAGACTGAGGGCGGTAGGGAATGTGAAGGGAAACAGGAGTTAAGGAGGAAGTATTAAAGTGTGACACACAACAGAAATCTTGGATCACTGGAAAGAGATCCATTTTGGAACAGACGCACTTCTATGTCCAATCCAACCCAACAGCTATTAACCAAAATGAAATTTCGATTTATGCCAAGACATGTTATCCGTGTTTCTTTATTTAGTTTGAAGTAAAATTATAGCGGAGTCATAAAATAAAATGTTAATACAGACAGAAGTATGGATGGACTTTTATCCGTATGTCTCGGCATATATCTATCATTTGATCATAACATAAGAGTGTTCTCTTATGTTCAGTGGTCATTCAGGTAAGTTTCATTCACTGATTATGGTCATCTCATTTGACTATTGGCATAATTTTTAGTGGAATACCCTAAAATATACAAAACTTAAAAAAAAGACTAGTTCAGTGGAAATTAAAACATCAAACTAATATAGTTATAAGCTAAAAAAAAAACATTTTCCCCCCATAAATAATAGGCACACTACCAAACGTTTGGGGTATGCAAGTAAAAATTGTGGCTAACCAAACAGTTGCTGGTCCCCATTGACCTTCATAGTATAGAATAAATGCTCTATAGCTAAATGGGGGACCATTCATTTGCTTACCAACATTCTTCAAAATATCTTCTATTCAGCAGAAGAAAGAAACTACTGGTTTGGAACAACTTGAGGGTGAGTAAATGATGGCAGAATTTTCATTTTGGGGTGAACCATCCCTTTAAGCAGCACAACTGTTTTCAACATAATGATAATAACAATAAATGTTTCTTGAGCACCAAATCAGCATATTAGAATGATTTATGGAGGATGTGGCACTGAAGACTTGAGTAATGGCTGCTGAAAATTAAGCTTTGCCATCAAAAAAATTAAATAAAATATAACATTACAAACATCTCACTTACCACAGACGTTTGAACAGAAATAGACAAATCAAATGTTATCTTTAGTATATAATATATAACACTGAGACAATTTTATCATCAACTGTTAAGCAAATCTCTCAGTAACTCTTGAGTTAGAGGCATGTACTTACGGCGCACTTCCAGTTTGCATTCTACTACGTCTTCTCCGCTGGAGTTGATCGCCTTACACATGTACACACCTCCATCAAACGGACACGGCTTACGGATCTCCAGAGTCAGCACACCCTGATTGCTGAACATACGGTACTTGGCCTCATTTGTAATGTCCATCTTGTTTTTGTACCATGTGATTTTAGGCTGCACAAAACATTAATATGGATTTAGAAATAGACAATCTTTACCATTTTCTTACATAAGCATTGATATGATAGATATTATTTTGTAATATATTTATCAGAATTATGTGTAAAACAAATTGAAGCCATTAAATATTTCATGAGCAAGGTGATATGAATTTTTTATTTTAGTTTTATAATAAGCACTACATGCTCAAAAGTAGACTAATTTGGACTCTTTTCAGTCCTTTTCTGTTTCAGCCTGACAATATCCCTGTGAACAAAGTGAGAACCTTTAGCATGAATTGTAATGCTGACTGCAAACCAGACCCCATCAGTGACCTTTTTATCTTACAAGTCAGACTTTTATTCTCTAGAATTGCTGAACAAGCATAAATTAGTCTGATGCTTCGGTGTTTCATACTACAGCCCTACAGTATAGTGCATGACCTTTGATATTGAGGTCGCAAGTGCTTACCTTAGGGATGCCTCTTACGGAGCAGCTGAGTGTAGCATTGTATCCAGCAATAACTGAGCGACTCATGAGAGGATGTGTGAACTTGGGGACCTCAGAGAAATCACGCTCTTTGTAGGAAGGAGGCTTGTACACAATGCCTGTAAAGAAAACCACAACATGCATCAGGAGATCAGGGGAGTCACATGAGAATTAGAAAGACTTTAAATACTGACAGCCTAACCACCAGTTTTTTTGCAGGAGTGCTCTTGCGATCTACACTGTTTACTAGTGAGCAAGCATGAGAATCTATCTGTGCACAGTCACCTGTTTTCTGGATGTAGGCGCTGTCTTTGGAGAGGCAAGGCTCTGGACTCAGACCAACCATATTCATGGCATACACACGAAACACGTACTCATTCCCCATGATCAGGTCTGACACCACACAGTTAGTGCGCCGATACTGCTCAAACACGATGTACCATTCCTGCAAAGAAGAGAAGAACCACACAAACATAATCATATGTTGTGTACGACACTGTCAGACACATTTTACTGTGATTAAAAGCCGTAGCTGTTCTCCTCTGAAACTCACAAAATCATGTCTCTTACATGAAAATGATTAAAATAATCCTTAAAATAATATATTTTATATAGACATATATTACCTTTCAGAAATTTAGGCTCAGTCATTTTTTTAGACAGAAATGAATACGTTTGTTCAGCAGGATGCATTAAATTGATTAATACTTAAAGTTAAAACATTTAATACTAAATGAAATGAAGGATCATGTGACACTGAAAACTGGAGTAATGGCTGCTAAAGATTCCTCGCTGCCATCACAGCAATAAATGACACTGTAATATATATTAAAATAGTAAAGATGTAATTTTTAAACTGTAATAATGTTTGACATTACAACTGTTTTTTTATTAAATAAATGCAGTCTTTGTAAGCATAAGTGACTTCTTTCAAAAACATTTGTAAAAATCTTACTGACATCAAACACTGAACACTGTGTATTTAAAAAGTATGATTTTGTTCAGTTTTTAAATCCCACATTAATCTTTTGTATTTATTGGACACGTTTCATGTTTATTTGAGCTGGCTATAATACAGTTTATGGGAGGAAAAATCATAGCCCATGTGTTAGTTAATTTAGAAATATAGGCACAAAAATGTGTCAAGAAAGATACATTTATCTGAAAGGCAAAATTACATGAGATTTTTTAAGCATAAACCTGCCTCACTAAATTCTTTATATTATTTATTTATTTGTTTGTTTCAATAGTTTTTCTAGTTTAACTATAAAAATAGATATAAAACACTGCATGTTCATTTTTAACCACTTTGTCATATGGTCACCAGCAAACAGTATGTGGGAACTACGTCACCACTTATCCTTGCTAATCTAAAACATTGTAGTGTGGTTCTCAGATTTCCGACTATACCACTGTAAAATCATTGTCCATTGTTATAGAGGATCGCATAGCGCATGTATTAAGCCAAAGTGTCGTTACTACAGTATGTCTGTGGGAGCAGTAGATGTTGAAGCAGGTAAATGGTCTGCCTGTGGATGTGCCCCAAAGCCCGCAGCTTAAAGTGCTTTTATATTTAGCAGCAGAGCATCTCCGATTTCTGATTGAGATTGGCCTGTGAAACCTGATAATCCGGTGTCTTCCTGCCTGCTGCTCTGGTCACAGGGAGAGGAATAGACTAGCTCTAACAATGAAACCTAAACCGGGTGCTTTTTATTTAGCCACTAACCTTAGTGGCTCAAGAGTACAAAGGGGTAAAGACAGCACTATAATGATAGCACTTAAATCAGGGCAAGGCCGTGGGCTAAGATTACAGCATGCTTGCACCGAAGGGGGCACAGGTGCTCCAGTTTGGTGTGCAACAAGGGTTCAGCAAGCATTTTGGAGATTTGGGTACTAGATGTTCTGGATGCTGTTCCCCTGGCTCACAATTCAGTGCCACTGGCCAACTGTATGTCACAAGAGAGGCTATAAACTCATAATCTCCCTGCAATGCTGTGCCATTGATGAATAGTGCACATACATTACTCAATTACCAGTGGTGTAGCGCCCCAGCAAAGGATGAACGCCTTGTGTTTTAAACAGTGACATGTAAGACTCCAAAATGGGCTATTAGTATTTGCACATTGTCACTAACTACTGCTGCTTGACTTCATGGAGTAAGGATCATTATGAAATGAATTTTAGCCACAGAAGAGGTGTTTTATCCAGAATTGTGAAGCTCTACACCTATGTGTGACTGTTTCTCCCATGACATACAGTGACGGGCACATGGTAATTTCAAGCCCTGACATATTTTATTAACATAATTTACAAGGTACAGTTATTAAAAATAACTGTACCTTGTAAGTGCCCACCTTGGTTGACGGGTTCATTCGAAGTTGTAGTTGAAGACTGATTGGGGTGGGGGACGGAGCGAGCGCAGGCACAATCATATTTCAAGGGATGCCGGCACCTCGGTCCTGACCGCATCACTGTCTTAGGTGTTTTTAGGGAATATTTACATTTATTCACATGTGATTGGATTAGCTACTCGTGTGCTGGACTGTCATGGTTTTGGCTAAAGCAGGACACTACTGAATGCTGCGCATCAGAGGCGATTTAGAAGTGGGTGTACGCAATGCCGATTGATAGAAGTGAGTATATGCCGTATACCACTGCACTACATCACTGTCAATTACAGAGATCACAAGCTTAGCTGCTTTAGTTTGACAATGGAAGGCATGGAGAGGCTTACAAACTATTTCTCTTTCTCTCAAATTCTCTCTCTGAGCCGGAGTTTGATTACTAACAGTGTTTGGCATATGCACTCTAACAGTTCATATGTACAGTATGACTTAGTAAAGAGACAGGAAATAAAATAATAAAATAAAATAATTATCCATTTCAGTAAAAACCCAAATTTGTAAGTTTGGGGTTACCATGGTTTTCTTATCAGCCTTCTGGATGGTGTAGCCTGTGATGTCGCAGTTGCCATTATCCTTGGGTGGTTTCCACTCCAGGGCAACGTTGAAGCCCCAAACATCTATCGCCTTTAAATTTTGGGGTGGGCCTGGCAGGTCTGACAGTGGAAAATAACAAAATGTGTTTTGATGTTTACTGATACAATCAAACACACTTGTATTGTACATAAGATAGCATATTCTGTTCCTCCAAACTGTGAATATTGAGTGTCATTTCAAGATGTTATTCTTGCACAATTGTGACAAATCTAGTCGATAATACAGGTTAAACTGACAGTGTATGTCCTAGTAACTTACCAACAATCTGTATATTCACACTGGCCCTGTCCTCCACATTCTCAATTTGCACTTGAACATCATACTTCCCAGAATCCTTTCTCTCAGATCTCCTAATGAAGAGGATGGTATCAGTATTGCTGTTTCGTATGCTGACCTGCTTAGGGTCCAGAGGCTCATCGGTCTTTGTCCAGTTCACTTGAGGTCGTGGTTTACCCTTAAAAGTGAGGTGAGTGAAGAATGAGTCAATACATCTCATTGGTCACTATCTATATTACGGACAATAAACAAAGAAAAAACCTTTTTGTCTAAACCTTTTTATTTAACATCTAAAGAACCTTTCTGTTTCACAAAAAGTTCTTTGTGGCGAAAGAAGGTTCTTCAGATTACAAAAAGGTAAGAAAGAGATGGTTCTTTAAAGAACCTTTGACTGAATGGTTCTTTGTGGAACCAAAAATTGTTCTTCTATGGCATCGCTTGAAGAACCTTTTGAAGCACCTTTATTTTTAAGAGTGGACGGACGGACAGACAGATAGATAGATAGATAGATAGATAGATAGATAGATAGATAGATAGATAGATAGATAGATAGATAGATAGATAGATAGATAGATAGATAGATGTTTTTGGGCACTATAGTTCCCAACAGGGGTGTTACAGATGCTGTTCAGACTTGTGTCATTGACTACCATCTGTGTGAAGCCTCTCTCATTGAATTTCAGCCAGAGCTCAGAGTATTTATAGAGTGAGAGGATGAAGATCTGTGTTTCACAAACTGGGTTCTGTAAACAAACTAGTGGACAGGCTACAGTCTAGCCAAGCACTGAAGCTCTAGCTGATGGAAAATGTTGGAGGTCAAAGTCTGCATCAAAAGAGGACAGCCAACGGTTTCATATTGCGACAAATAATACTGCTGGATACATCAATACTGATCTTTTCATACGACACACAGGATGCCTGCCAAGAAGCAAATCTAAATTGTTTGCATGGATTAGTCACATGTTCCGCAGCATAATTTTGTTAGGGGTGTGCACATTTCAAACACAGTTTTAAGGATGACATGTCTCACCTGAAAGGGGATTACCAGGTTAATCGTTTCTCCTACTTTCTTGATAAGTGTCTGGCGGAGGTTACGGGGTACCCAGATTTTGGGTCGCTCTGCAATAACAGAATGCAAGTGATTCACATGGTGGCCCTGCATCTAAGAATATAATAACCTGTCTTACCTATCTTTCCCATCTCATTCCCTTCCCAACACTGAACTGTAATGCGATGCAATAGATGGATCTTCACTTAAAAATAAAGCTCAGTTGCCTGAACATTAGCATTTATAAGCTTAGTTTCATTCTATTATCAGGTAGATTCATCTGTAGCAAGAGGCATTAACATATGATGTCTCTAAACACAATCTAGAACAGCAGTTCCCAACCATGTTCCTGAAGCCCCCCAACACTGCACATTTTGCATCTCTCCTTTGTCTGACACACCCATTTCAGGTCTTGGAGTCTCAACTAATGAGCTGATGATCTGAATCAGGTGTGTTTGATTATGGAAAACATGGTGGTCAGGAATGTGGTTGGGAACCCCTGATCTAGAAGACAAAAAGCCAAAACATTTGAACTTCTAGCTGTCCACAACGTGCAAAATCCCATCACACCAAAACGTTGACCTTAAATGGGCTAGCCTAACATTTTAAGATCATTCTCTGTGTAACTCACGCATGATTTCACGGATGGTGACTGCTTGTTGCAATGTGGCAGGAGGGCTGGGGCCTGCCATGTTATACGCCCTCACGCGGAACTGCATCTTCTCTCCAGTTGGCAGGTCACGGATAATCACAGAGGTCCTGTCTGTGAGACCCTTAAATGCAGGGATCCATTCATCAGCTATAGAGATGAAATAAAGAATTCAGAGACAGAACATTGAGGATTGATTCTGAATATTGCTTTGAGGCAGTTAAAAAGAATAAATTTTACACCTGAATTGCTAAAGCTACACTAACGCTCAAAAGGTTGGGATCAATGTGACTTTTTTAAAGGAAAATTATACTTTTATTCAACAAGGATTGCTTAAATTGATCAAAATTGACAGTAAAGACATTTAAGTTATTAGTAAAATTTCAATTTCAAACCGATTCTGTTATTTTTAACTTTCTTTTAATCGAAGAATCCTGAATAAAATGAAGAAATGGTCCTTGAGCAACAAATCAGCATATTAGAATGATTTCTGAAAGGCACTGGAGTAATGGCTGCTGAAAATGCTTTGCCATCACAGGAATAAATCACATTTTAAAATATATTTAAAACAGAAAACTGTTATTTTAAATTATATGAATATTCATAATATTTCTGTTGTTTTTGTTTGTTTGTTTTTGATCAAATAAATGCAGCCTTAGTGAAAAGAGACAAAAATATTTTAAAAAATCTTACAGACACCAGTAGTAGTGTACTCTTATAAACACATATGTGACCCTGGACCACAAAACCAGTCTTAAGTCAGTGGGGTATATTTGTAGCAATAGCCAAAAATACATTGTATGGGTCAAAATTATAGATTTTTCTTTTATGCCAAAAATCATTAGGATATTAAAGCAGCACTATGTGACTTTTTCTGTGTTCAAAATGAGATAAATGTATATAATGAGCGAGTACATCATGAATTCATCTTCCAAACCGCGTTTTTTGTCTTTTGTCTACACTTATAATAAGTACTTATATTTGGACTATTGTAGCCTGGTCGGGTCGTCACCGCTGCGGAGTAACACATACCTGCGTGAATCGCCATAGACATAAACTTAGAGAAGTAGCTCCGGTTGGAATGTTCTTCCGCGGGATGTGTGTAGTAACATACTATTGGGTGCAGTTCTGTTTATTAACCTAGAGCTAGAGCGCCAAAAGTTACATAGTGCCGCTTTAAGTAAAGATCATGTTCCACAAAGATATTTTGTAAATTTCCTACTCTAAATATACTAAAACTTAATTTTTGATTAGTAATATGCATTGCTAAGAACTTCATTTGGACAATTTTATATCGCCTTTAAAATTGTCCAAATGAAGTTCTTAGCAATGCATATTACTAATCAAAAATTAAGTTAAATTAAATTAAGTAAATTCTCAATATTTTGATTTTTTTGCACCCTCAGATTCCAGATTTTCAAATAGTTATCTCAATTTTAAAAAATGTACCCTTATAACTGGTTTTGTGGTCACATTTAAATAAATTCTGTCAAACATATGAATCTTTAAACCATCCCATATTTAAAGTACAAAACTCAAACAAACACCCTTACAGCCTTCCTTGCAGTACTCAACCCCATAGCCTTCAAGTTCAGCTGAGCCTATTCTCTCTGGAGCCCTCCATTTCAGAGAGATGGTGGTATCACTGATGTCATCCACACACAGCCCAGTAGGCTCACTGGTAGGAGCTGTGGACAGGAAGTTGATACAAATGAGTATGTGTTTCACTTCAAAAAAAATATGTTCTTGTATAAAGTTTTGTTCAAGTACCATTTCCTTTGTATTGGCAGCTGGAGTAAATTGATGTACTAGAGATTAGCTTTGTCAGCTGACAGCAAGGAAAAGCCTTGTGCGTATGATGTATTTTAAGTGCAACACTTGCTATATTACACTTATATACTGTTACTAAGCCATCAAAGACAGGGATAGTACTGAAGACTGTTTAATACATGGCTGGATTTACTTGGACTTGTCACTGTGGTTTCCAGTAAAGTCCCACTGAACAATGTGAGAAGAGCATAGCATTGCCACTAAACTAAGCAGCCATGGAAACTATGGAAGCAACCTTAGTCTTGTGAGGTTTATCTCTATACTTACCTTTGAGACTACCTTCACAGAGAGCCTTTCATTACTGACAAGAATAACCAACATTGCTAAAAGGAGTCTGAGTTTAACTTGTGCAGTGGTGATAAGGGCCTCCTGAAGATATCCATGCTGTCTGCTGTGATTTGCAAGCAAGCTTCAGTCTAAAATGTTTGTGCCATATTTAATTGCTGGTCCAATGACCAGGTCAAGCTGTGTATTTACGAAGACTGTGAACTTGCACCACATCCAAGAACATCTACTCATATCTAGCCAAGAGTTATCTAGAGTGGACAAATTACTCAATTACTTTTCCTTGAAATGCAAACAACTGTTAATAGCTCTAAATATGAGGCCAATAGAAATAAACAGTGTAACAATTATCAGGCTTTGCCTTGTTGTGCTTATTCAAGCCTTAAGGTGCATTCATCACATTTACCATTCTTCTGTAAATTTTCATGTTGAAATCAAGTTATTTCATTAGGAATTTGCAATCGTAAATGAGAGCAAAAGATTTCCCCACACAGATTTTGCATCGAATTTAAGATGCAATTTTGCCACATTGACCAACAGAACATGGTTTGGAAGTGACTTCTGTGTGAACTGTGCTTCATACATCGTTACACTACTGACATTTTATGTTTTTTGCCTGCAACATTTCACTAATGTAACCACATCTTTAGATGCAACCATACACACAATGACATTAATGTCCACTTGTTAAATCATGACTTAAGTAATGTTTCCGGGTCCAAGTCTCTACTTGTTTCAATTAAGAATACTCAACAGCTATTTATGAGCATTGTTTATTCATATCACACATTAAAGGGGTGGTTTACTGGGTTTTTTCTAGGCTTGATTGTGTTTATGGGGTGCAGTCTAACATGTGTTAATGCTTCGTTTAAAAAAAAAAAAATTTCTTTTTCACATAATTTACCTTTATTCCACACCGCTCTGTCCCTTCTCTGAGAAAAGCGCTGATCTTTTCCTGTTTTTATGAAGCCCCGCCCTCAGAAATAGGCGATGGGCTCTGATTGGTTAGCTAGCCCAGTGTGTTGTGATTGGCTAAACCCCCTCTAGTGTGCGTCTAAGCATCCCGCCCCTCACCTCAGCGGCATGTGCTCTGGTTGTATTGTAAACAACGGCATCGTTAATATCGCTTATCAGTTTGAGCCCGATTGAGAAGCAGAGGATATTATTGAAGAGGATCGTGCAGAACCTGTGCAAGCACGGCTTTTAATGGTAGGCCTATATTTTTTGTTGTCTCATACTTTTAGATATGCTGTTATTTGTAAATGCTACTGCTTATGTTAGCTTTTAATATACGGTTTTATCCTGATTAAAGCTTTAATACAGTACCGCAACCGCATGCGCGTCCATGTTTAATGCTTCTCATAGCAACGTGAAAATAAGTGTATAATTGGAACAGTTCATTGTCGGAGCTGAGCTGAATGTGTGAGAGAGAGAGAGAGATGCAGAGCGTGTGCAGAGCAGGGGAACTAACTAACGTTAAAAAAGTGAAATCGCAATCAACCACCCCTTTAAAGCTAAGATTTTAAAAACGCACAGTCTATACTACAGTCTCCAGGCATCCCAGACAACAATATTTTAATGATTCATAAGAGATGAATCACTGTCTAATCAATTGAGATTTCGGTATGGAGATAAAGGTTAGGATCATGATTTTTTGGTAGTACTACAACACACTGTAAGTATACAGTGGGTACGGAAAGTATTCAGACCCCCTTAAATTTTTCACTCTTTGTTATATTGCAGCCATTTGTTGTTTACTTTTGGCATCTGATTTGGACCCTGAAACAGTGACGTCAGACTTTACAAGCAGATAGTAAAATACATGCTCAAACTTAAGCATATCAACACCCAAGCTTAATACAATACATATTGATTAAATGTGGACATGTATTTTCAAACTGGTTTAGGTTTTATGCCACTATGGTGTATTCTTGAAATAAGTTAATGACAATTATGCATAAAGACAGCTCTAAAATATATATATAAAGATGTCATGGAAACTGGTATAATCCCTGCATTAATAATCTCCACAAAAGATTGTTAGAAATAGATGCCTACAGCCAACAGGTTTAGGCTCTGGTTCCAGCTCCGGTGGGGGGACAGTTTCCTCTGGTGCTTCTACAGATGGTGCCCCTTCCTCTCCTGGTGTTGCTGCTTCTGCTGTAGAAGCTCCATCTTCAGAAAGAGCAGGAGTTGCCTCCTCAGCTGGAGGTGCAGGAGCTTCAGCACTGGCCTCTTGTGCAGGTTCTTGCATAGCTGTTGCTTCTGGCTCTGGCTCTTTGGTTTCTGCTGGCACATCGGGCATTGGCTCGGCCGGTGGTGTTTCAGCCGGCGGTGCCTCAGCTGGCTTCTTCTCAGCAGTCTTGGGGAGCATCGGTTTGGTCATTCTGTCTCTGGATCACTTCAGTCTGGTGTGTTTTACAAGTAGAGCCTCCTGAAAAGTGTCTGTCTGTTCTGTAACACCTGCTGTGGTCTTCTCTGGGCGCAGTGACGGTGACAGGCAAGCAACAAAGGAAGTGCAGTGTCCTGCCCCCTCCTCTCTTTTGACAATGCCGTAGATACAGCTTTGCAAAGTGCTAACATGCCATTATTTATAGAGAAGGATGCCATGGATAGTTTCCTAATCAGCTGCCTTGTAACAGACAACAGTCTAGATAGCTTTCAATGCAGCTCACTAGAAGATTATGTTAAAGATGAGCAAAAAATGAATGCAAGAACATCATTAACATGTCAATTGTTTAAACTGAAAAGGACCTTTTCAGACCATTTTAACAGAACACAACCTGTTGATTGTACCAATTAGATGAATGAAAAAATGTGGCTAAATAGCTCTATGTGTCTGGAGAGGAACAGCAACCCTTAAAGGATGGTTCATCCAAAAATGAAAATTCTGCCATCATTTACTCACCCTCATGACTTTCATGACGTCGACTTTCTTTCTTCTGTGGATTGTTAAAGAAGATATTTTGTAGAATACTGGTAACCAAACTGTTTTGAATCTTGGATCTTTCAAAAAAAATAGCAATATTAAAACACAAGATATCACAATGAAAGAAGTGGATGCAATCCATAAAACTGGCATTCAGCATATGCTATCCTCCTGATTAGCCATTACATATTAAAATTAAATATCTGTAACAGAGGCTTAAAGAAAAGCAGGGGAAACAAACAAGTCCCTATTACGAAAGCAAAGTTATAAATCAAAGCAGTGGAACTCACCAACTGGCACAAATGGCTGGGAGGCAGCACTGGGGCGGGACATGCCGATGGCGTTTACTGCGTAAACACGCATTTCGTAGGCTACACCCTCAATCATTCTCTTGGTTTCATATGTGGTCTCTTTATAAGGATCAAAATTGAGTCTCATCCATCTATAGCTCTTTTTCTTCTTCCTTTCAAGAACGTAACCTGAAAGACATTAAGAAAACATTGTTATCATCGTGCACTTCCTCTACAGTGCACATTTAAAAGCGGATTTTCAGCAATATTATTAGGTCATTTTTCATTAGGTAGCTTTTTCATAATATGTAGGCTCCTTCACTTAACTTTAAATTAGATTTAGTTTGTGTTAAGTTAGTGGTTGAGCAAAATTAATTAATAGTTCTTAGGAACATGTGATGTCAACCAGATTTAGATAGCTCTGTAGTAATACTGTGTACTATTATTATTAAGTCACCTATGACTGGCTGGCCACCATCAAAGAGCGGGGGATCCCATTGGACAATACAAGAATCTTCACCGACGCTAAGGATTCTGGGAGCTTCAGGTGGATCTGGCACATCTGTAAAACATTAAAAGCACAGTCACACCATTTCTTCTGTACAGCTAATATACAGCTACATCAAAGACATTTTGCTCTCAAATGGCAACTCTCTTCTATATATTTGAATATTGCAAACCTCCAGAAGGCAATACACACAATCACAGAGTGATAATAAACAGCCAGAAAGAGATGTAGACAGTTTAGGTTGTGGCCTTTTGATGCATTTCATTTTAGTGCAGTTCTGAAGTGTACAAAAGAGAGCTGCAACATGGCCCATAATGAATAAGGGCCTAACTTCAGCCTACAAGAGAACAGCTGGGAAATGTACCCATGGTAATGGGGTTTAAAAAAAGCTTACCAACAACTTTGACATTAATGTCAGCTGTATCCTCTCCAGCAGGATTGCGTACAATGACAGAGTACACTCCCTCATCCTGACGCTCCGCCCCCTCAATGGTAAAGATACAATGGCCTTTGGTACTCTCCACATGAACACGCCCATCTGAGTCTGTCAGCACCTGAACAACCAATCAAAAGTCGGGATTGTTAAGGCCTAAACTCACTTCACCGTTCTTCACTGTCCATGTATGCCTTGGTTCAGGACGCGACTCTCCCTCCTTAAAGCTACCCTACATGAGCAGAGCAGAAGCTGTGAAGCCATGGCAATCAAGTCAGAGGTTAAGTGTGAGAAAATTAACCGTCAACCTTCCATTTCAGCTCAAAACTCCCAAAACTCCCAGTCCCAGTGAGCCTCGAAAAGACTTTCTGGTTATGGCTGGGAGATGTTACAATACCTACCTGTCAAGGCTTCTGAAGCCCAGATGAAGGATCTCCTGTTACATTTGCAGGACAACATGGCAAATCGTAAATAATTACAGTACACACATACAGTATACCACAAACTGCAGACGAATTAAAAAACATAAAAAAAAGGAAAAAAAAGATTTTCTAACTAAATGTCATTCTAAAGGAAAAGGTTAGTGTAGGTTTTGGTGTTCTGCTGTAACTGACCAGGGCTGTGTTTCCCAAAAGCAAGTAGATCTTACAGATCATTACTGCCAATGGTTTCTAAGATCTACTTAGGCTTACAGTGTATTTGGGAAACACATCCCAGACCTATTCGCACAGACAGGGATTGTTCGAAATCGATACCAGACGAAATTTAATGAATCGCTCCTACCTTTTCTCCTTTTGTCCAAACCACAGTGGGGGCAGGATCTCCAGTAATTGGTACATCTAGTCGCAGTTTGTTTCCAGCCACAACCAAGATTGTGCACTCAGCGGTGCGGCCCATACAGTCCAGATGAATCTTGGGAGGATCTTTAAAAAACAAACAAAAAAAACAGACAAACAAAAGAGAAGTATGTCGACACATTTCTCAAAAATAAAGTGTTACAAAAAATTTTTTTATTTTCTTTTATTCCAATATTTATGATTTAACATAGTTCCCAGAAACACATTAATTTGACATATTAATGCTGTTTTTATTTTTACCTTGCCGTGGAACAAAGTCAATCTTGACCTCTGTAAAGATAAAGCACAATAATTTGAAAAACAGTAGTTTAAACTCACATTCTAAAGTAATAATTAAACAAAAGGATATACCTAAAAAGTTGAGCTTGGCAGAGAGATTGAAGGCATAGCCCTCAGGAACGAAGGTGTAGTCACCCTCATCGTCTGGCTTTACGTCATCAATGGTCAGCTTATGAATCCTAAATATAAATAAAAAAGCAACTTCACAATACTTCAAAACTGTGCAGTAGTAAAAAACAAAACAAAAAAACAAAGAGCGGTTGTAACATCCATATTTTTAAATCTGTATCTTTTAATTGATTGATAAGGGACCTGGCGTCGGCACTCGTTATAATGCTACATTTTCTCTGACAATGACAATTGTTCAACAGTGTTCGATAGTTTCAGTTTTGTTGATCTATTTTGATTCAGAACTAGTGATTCATTCTTTTGAATAGGTTATTTTCAAAGAATGAATCAAACAGGTTCACGATTCAGACTGAATCATTCAAACATGTTACTCAGGCACTGAAATGTTTTGCACAGTTTCTGACAACTTTTACAACAAGGGGAACAAAAAGAACACTGGATACAGTGAAATAAACTCCAAAACGCCTAAAAAAAACTAAAATTACCATAGTTACAATATAGAAAAGTGTTTTAGACATGTTTTTGTGAAATTTTATTTAAATTTTACTTTACTAATATTTTACTATGAATAGAATGTTTTATTACACTTTAAACGTTATACCCCTTTTAGAGCTGCTTTGCTTTTGGCAGTGTTTTTATGGGTTGAGTTACTTACATTGTCTAGCTACATTCAGTTTAGCCAAATCAAACATGCATGATTTACCATGCTTGTTTAACCTTCATTTGAGGGTTGAATGCATAGACTTTGCTTATAGACATCAAGAAGTCTCCAACTTCATATTTACGTAACACATGTGCTCTTACCTGCCAATGTGTGTGATATGAGTTCTGGCATCAGGTTTCACCTCCACTTTATTTTTGTACCAGATGCCTTTCACCTTCTCATCAGAAACCTCACATTTGAACACAGCCTGGTATTTGGCCTTCACCGTCAGGTCAGCAATGCTTTGATACACCTCTAGCTGTTTCTCTAAAAGTCAGAGGTCAAAGAGTACACTGTCATCACACATGACCAAAAACCATTCACTTAATAAAAAAAGAACAGCATGAATATCCTGTCTGTTGTGGTTTACTGAAGAAAGAAATCATATGGGTCTACTGCAACATGCATGGGAGAAACGTATTCATGTTTGGGTGAACATTCCCTTTAAGATAATAAAGGGAGGTGGGGTAAAGAAAGGTAACAATCCCACTGATGGGATGGTAGCGTTACAGTAATACTGGGCAGCTTTTTTTTTCTTGGCACCTCTTGTACTTGATCAAAAGCCCAGACAAACTGGTAGCAGACATACCTGGCTATCAGTTTGCTTGTAAAGTGCTATACATGCTTGAAGACTCAGAATAGGTGACAGAATGAAGGAGGGAGAAGAGAGAGTGAGAAAGAGACAGAAGAAAACAATAAAAAGAAATGGGAGAGAAAGGGAATGAGTCATAAATCTTTCTTAGATGCTAATAAAAGAGAGAGAGAGAGAGACGGAGCAGTGTGTGACAATGACAGAAAGAGAGAGTGAGGGAGGAACAGACAGAGTCACCTGCCCTGCTCAAATATATGGGTCAGGCGGTCTAACAATAGCTGGCATGTGGGCATTGTGAGTGGTAACCTTGTACAGAAGTGTCAGTGGCCATGTTTTCTAAACTGACGAGAGGTGAAGTTTGAATGACATGGCCACAAGTGTGAAACCTTAATGACTGCCATATGTGCAAAGTACTTTTTTATATCATTTTTCCATCCCTTCCGCTATCAAGGGCAGAATTTGTTCAATAAGTTACAGTACAGATCTGAAAACATCTGTGGCTGGGGACAGAAGTTTGCAAATATAGGAGGCCTTGAAACTCTCCAAATTCAGATATTTACCCTGAACCATGAGCTCTGCTAATGATTGCCCTCCATTGGTTACATGTGGGCATTGTGAGTGGTAACCTTGTACAGAAGTGTCAGTGGCCATGTTTTCTAAACTGACGAGAGGTGAAGTTTGAATGACATGGCCACAAGTGTGAAACCTTAATGACTGCCATATGTGCAAAGTACTTTTTTATATCATTTTTCCATCCCTTCCACTATCAAGGGCAGAATTTGTTCAATAAGTTACAGTACAGATCTGAAAACATCTGTGGCTGGGGACAGAAGTTTGCAAATATAGGAGGCCTTGAAACTCTCCAAATTCAGATATTTACCCTGAACCATGAGCTCTGCTAATGATTGCCCTCCATTGGTTTTCACTCGGTAGTGTCCACAGTCTTCCTTGGTCACATCATTAATGATAAGGACATGCTTACATCCATCTTTCTTGAAGCGGTACTTGAAGGACTCATCTCGGGTGAGTTCCACACCATCTTTCTCCCTATACAGGTGAGAAGTTTGGTATTAATATTTGTTGATGCAAATGGTTTTCAATCACTGAAAATAGGTAAATTCAACAACTTGAACATGGGGCAGCTTTGAAATCCCCATATCTGTGGAACTGAACCATATAGGGCCTTAAAAATTAAGATTTCAAAAGAAAAGTTTATTAAGAATGAGAATCTAGAAGGAAATTAAGATATCTTGAATACTTTTAGAGTTCCAGACATGATAACTTTAGAAAAATAATATTTATGTCACTCAGACAGGTATACTCTATGCAATTGAGCTGATAGAAAAAAAAGAGATACATTTCTAGTTTTAACAATTTTTTGTTTTTTTAGATAATCCACTTTAAAAGAAAAAAGTATTAGCTGTATGCAAAGCCACATGGAGCCGCATTAAGATTTCCATATCTCTGGGACTGAACCATTGAGGGCCTTTAAAATTAAGATACCAAAAGGAAAGTTTGTCAAGAACCAAAATCTAAAAGGATATAGGATATTAAGATATCTTTAATACTTCTTGAGTTACAGGCATGCAAACTTGAGGCAAAAAAACACAAGAAATGCTTTTTGCCATTTTGAACTGTCACCATTAGCATATAATGAAACAAAAATGGCAGAAGTCAACAGATTAATATACTAATAGACCTATCAATCTATGTGTAAAAATAAAATAATGATGCTGCCATCCTTCTGAAGTCATTTTTACACCCCTCTAATTTGGCTCCAAATCTCAGGTGAAACTTTCATTTTGACCTTCCTCTATAAAATTGTGGACTACTCAGTAAACATACATCTGTGAAGTTTAATATTTTGGTTTTCATCACTATGTTTGTCTTTCTACAGAAAGAAAAATATTAACAAAATCAAAAAAATTTAGCCAGGGACCTCTGGAATGACCCTATTGAGATTTGCGTTTATGAGATTTTCAATGACGATGAAACTGAAGTACTGTAGCGTACAGTTGTGACATGAGTGAAACGGCTTTTTGAAAAAATGTAGGGTGGAACTTGGTTCTGTCCATCAGTTATCAGTTGCTGATTGGATTTTGAGATGTCGGTGTTGGACTCAAAAATGAATGTGAGCTTGCAGTCGATTGTGGAGGGGCGGGGTTTAAGCAGACTAAATGATTGGAGAAGTCTGGCATATGTCACCAGAGAGAAGTCTTGTAGTTTTCACCACAAGATCGATTATGACATTTTAATTTAACAATATAAGGTCAGCATAAATTCAGTTGGAAAGAAATCTATGACAGAAAAGATGTTCAATTACAAAAGCAAGGGGAAATTCCAAGAAGGTTTGCACCTGATTATGAAAGAACAAAACCAGGGTGCGAACTACGGGGGGAGCTAGGGGGAGCTCGGCTCCCCTTAATAAGGCATGGGCTCCCCTGAAAACGTGATTTGTGAAATTTTGGGGGGTCTGAAAAAATACTGACAATGTGTTATTTTGACGTGCAATTTCAGTTTTGTGTAATATGATCATCGTGGATTATTATGTGTAAAATTGCAAAAATATCATTCATTCATGCATGACGGCGATTTAAACCTAATTCACTTCAATAAAGATAACTTTACATGCTATTCTTGTCATGAGCATCAAGGTGTGGGGCCGCTGCGGTGCACATTCCACTCATGTTTAGTACATGTTAACTCAAAGATTCGTAGAAAAAATATAAACGTTGGACTCTCTGGTCGATTCTGTGTTAAGGTAAGGCATGTTATTCGCAATTATGTGTTGTGGCTGGGGTGTTATAGGTCTGCGTGACTCTCGATGTCTTAGGCCTAACTGAACGGAGGAATTATGGTATTCTTCTGTAGCCTGACAACGAGTAACTTTAACCGTTGTTCATGTGAACTCAAAGACAGCCTGATGCTTTGTATATAGACTATTTGTGGGTGGCTGTTTGTTGTTTCACCTATCAGTTCGTGTCGATAAAGTAGGCCTATAATAGGGTAAATCCTGTATCGTGATTTATCCTATATAGTGCTTGCATAAAGCAAGTAGTGCATACACTTGTAGCTGTTATGTATCTTTGTAAGTCATTGCAAGCGCACGAACACCCCACCCCCCCCCCCCCCCCCTCCCCTTATAAAAAAAAACAAAAAACAAGTGGGCTCCCCCAAAGTCCACGGTATAGTTCGAACACTGAACAAAACCATTTTTGAAGGTACTGTAATGGCTAATTGCCATGATGTACTCAATAATAATAACCTCTGAAATGTAAATCTTGATTTATGAGCATTACTGCAGGGTAGTGAGAGCAAATGGGATAAATCAAATGGCTGACATAGTAAAGGACTAACTATTTATATTAAGTTGATAGCTGCTAATCTTTTCTCCTGCATCCATGAGCTTTTATGCCAATCTGCAAGCGATGCAACTCTACATCAAACACTACATTATAATTACCCCATTACACTTGTAATATAAAGTCCTACATTGTGGCGTTCCAGTACTAGGAACAGTATCTACTTCTGCCTTTTTCTAATCATCAAAGTCATCCGCTATTCAGATGCCATAAACCACCAGTGACTTTCTCATTCCATAGGACACTTGTGAGGTGCTAAAAGGCTGCTATGACCTTTTCCAGGCACTGATCATTTACAGCCCAGAGTGATGTAGAGCCTTGGCTACAGCTATGGCAGAACCAGCACTCACTCATGCACCACCATCTGTCAGTCAGTGTGACTCACCCAACCAGCCAGCCAGCAATGCTAAAAGAAACACATGTGCCATCTACTGGACATCTGTGGAATGCCAGGACTCTGACTTGTCCAGGACAGCTTGAGAAATGGTCACCTTTTCTAAACTCTTCTTTGGTTTTGTTTGGTGTAATGCAGTTTAGTACAGATATCAGCTTTTCAAGTTCATTATGGATGCACATATGACCTGAAAGGCCTTTTTTTGTTTTGCCTTTTTTTAAAAGGCAGCAGCAGCTATTTGCACTAAGTGTAAATAGCAATTAGATGCTATTTTTATTAAGTGAAAATAGCATATTTTCTTAGGGATAGATGCTATTTACACTAAGTGTAAATAGCGATGGATTCTATTTACACTGTTAAAATAGCAGGATTTTCTGCTATTTATACTACTTATTGCAAATAGTGGCAATTATCTGCAGTGCACCTCAGTGTTGTAGTACATTATAAAACAGTACGCAGTAATAACGTATTGAGTGTAAATTATAATTTTAATTCAAACTATTAAATGGATGCCACCTTATTGGGACAATAAAGCCCTCCCTACACCTACCCTAACCCTACCCGATAGCCTACTTAATTTTCAACTTTTTTTGATTATTTCCTTAATTTTTATTGAAAATAAATGCCTTTCCGATGTGATATGAGGTTTGAAAAAAAAGAGGTATCTACGCCAATGGAACTTATATTTAGCATGTCTTTTGTACAGCCTCGGCCAACAAGGCAGGCTATTTGCACTTACAGTAAATAGACACTCCGTTTTTAAAAAATGTCTTGGAAAATGTGTTACTACTAATGGAAGTGAAAAGGGAGTGTGTGCTTGTTGACAGACCTACCATTTCACTTGAGCCCCCTCTTCAGACACTTCACACTCAAACTCTACTCGTTCTCCCTTCATAACCATCTGATCCTCTAGATTACGTACAATCAGAACAGGAGGCTCTGAAGGCAGAGAGAGATTTTTTTTTAAATTACATACAAATAATATAAATAAACAATGCTTGACGTAATATAAGATAATATAAAATATTTACTTGTCTGTAAAATTTAGTCTTTTCTCAGAGATCTCTGTCTGTGCAAGTTAAATACCTTTAACAAAGAGCTCAGTGACAGTCTTCTCTTCTCCAATCATGCACGTATAAGCAGCATCATCTGCCAGAGTACAGTTGTTGATAGTGAGGAAGCGTTTGTTGCCTACACTCTCAAAGATGTACCTGTAGGAAGATGAGAAATTATTTAGTAGCAGTTCCAGCGTTGTTCTCTAGATGGGGACAAAGCATCAATGTTGGAGAGGCTCTTCCAAACACATAAACAATAGATATGAGAAAATGAACAAAACACTTGTTTAACACCAAAAACCTTGATATGACGACAATGTCAAAAATATTGTGGCAAACAAATAATAGACAATTGTAGACATACGACAAGACTCGTTTTAAGATTCTTCAGTTCACAAGATGTATTTTTACAAAAGGTTTTATTTAACTAAGGTCACTGAAATATATTACGAGCCATTGAGGATAGTTTTTGTTCTATTGTTATTTGAGTCCTTAAACATCTGACAGCCTCCATCTGTTGGCACAGCTGGCATCTGTGTCTACAGAGCTATGTATTCTCAGAAAACTGTCCCTGTATATAGTCAACAGGCTGTTTGAAACATCTAACCCCACAGAGACAAGCCTTGAAGTTGCTGATTGTGTTTAGGCTGCGTCTTGTCATAAGCATACTGTTGAGTTCCACTCACTTGCTAGGGTTGACAGTGGAGAGCAGGTAGAGCAGTCCATCCCTCCATAAGCACACAGTGTTGTCAGAAGTCAAAGAAATAGACAGTTAATTGTAACCCTTGCCATGTACTTTTACTACTTTAAGAGAATGCATAACCCACGTGACTCAATTTTTTTTTTCTTTACATTACAGTGAATGGATCAAAGTAAATACCTTCCAGTTAGGTGTATCTCTTGTCCATGTTTTAGCCATTTAACCTCTGCATCTGGATTGGCCACTTCAATTTGCAGTTTGATCTTGTGTCCCTTTTCGACTTGGTAGGCTGGGTCCAGCTTTCTCAGAATTGCTGTGGTTAAAATAAAGATGAAACTTCACCACTATTAGAAAGAAATGTGCAGCACATGAGCATGCTTAAAAAGAAGTTTGAGGTTTTCTATTGAACAGCAACAAAAATTTGAAGCAAGAAAACTACTGACAGTAGGAATTTATAGTCATACTGTATATACAGTGGGTACGGAAAGTATTCAGACCCCCTTAAATTGTTCACTCTTTGTTATATTGCAGCCTTTTGCTAAAATCATTTAAGTTAATTTTTTTTCCTCATTAATGTACACTCAGCATCTCATATTGACAGAAAAACACAGAATTGTTGACATTTTTGCAGATTTATTAAACAAGAAAAACTGAAATATCACATGGTCCTAAGTATTCACACCCTTTGCTGTGACACTCATATATTTATCTCAGGTGCTGTCCATTTCTTCTGATCATCCTTGAGATGGTTCTACACCTTCATTTGAGTCCAGCTGTGTTTGATTATACTGATTGGACTTGATTAGGAAAGCCACACACCTGTCTATATAAGACCTTACAGCTCACAGGGCATGTCAGAGCAAATGAGAATCATGAGGTCAAAGGACCTGCCTGAAGAGCTCAGAGACAGAATTGTGGCAAGGCACAGATCTGGCCAAGATTACAAAAAAATTTCTGCTGCACTTAAGGTTCCCAAGAGCACAGTGGCCTCCATTCCTTAAATGGAAGACGTTTGGGACGACCTGAACCCTTCCTAGAGCTGGCCGTCCGGCCAAACTGAGCTATCGGGGGAGAAGAGCCTTGGTGAGAGAGGTAAAGAAGAACCCAAAGATCACTGTGGCTGAGCTCCAGAGATGCAGTCGGGAGATGGGAGAAAGTTGTAGAAAGTCAACCATCACTGCAGCCCTCCACCAGTCGGGGCTTTATGGCAGAGTGGCCCGACGGAAGCCTCTCCTCAGTGCAAGACACATGAAAAAACACCTGAAGGACTCCAAGAGGGTGAGAAATAAGATTCTCTGGTCTGATGAGACCAAGATAGAACTTTTTGGCCTTAATTCTAAGCGGTATGTGTGGAGAAAACCAGGCACTGCTCATCACCTGTCCAATACAGTCCCAACAGTGAAGCATGGTGGTGGCAGCATCATGCTGTGGGGGTGTTTTTCAGCTGCAGGGACAGGACGACTGGTTGCAATCGAGGGAAAGATGAATGCGGCCAAGCACAGGGATATCCTGGACGAAAACCTTCTCCAGAGTGCTCAGGACCTCAGACTGGGCCGAAGGTTTACCTTCCAACAAGACAATGACCCTAAGCGCACAGCTAAAATAACGAAGGAGTGGCTTCACAACAGCTCTGTGACTGTTCTTGAATGGCCCAGCCAGAGCCCTGACTTAAACCCAATTGAGCATCTCTGGAGAGACCTAAAAATGGCTGTCCACCAACGTTTACCATCCAACCTGACAGAACTGGAGAGGATCTGCAAGGAGGAATGGCAGAGGATCCCCTGAAAAACTTGTTGCATCTTTCCCAAAAAGACTCATGGCTGTATTAGATCAAAAGGGTGCTTCTACTAAATACTGAGCAAAGGGTCTGAATACTTTCCGTACCCACTGTATATGTTCATATCCACTTAATATATCTCACCATTATCATTGCAACTTGACCTATTGCTATACAGTCAAATTAGTAAATTACTTACAGTGCCTTGCAAATGTATTCTTTTTTAAACATTTTGTTATGTTGCTGCCTTATGTTAAACTGTTTTAAATTAGTTTTTTCACATCAATCTACACTCCATACACTGTAATGACAAAGAAAAAAACAGATTTGTGACAACTTAGCAAATTTATTAAGAAGGAACAACTGATAAGTACCATTCATACCCTTAACTCAGTACTTAGTTGAAGCACCTTGACAGCCCCGTCTTTTTGGATATGATGCGACAAGCTTTGCACCTCTGCATTTGACAATTATCTGCCATTCTTCTCCTCACCTCTTCACATCTCAAGCTCTGTCAGGTTGGATGGGGGCCGACAGACATTTTCAGGTTTCTCCAGAAATATCAGATTGGGTTCAAGCCCATGCAGGCTCTGGTTGGGCCACTCAAGGACATTCACAGAGTTGTCCTTAAGCCACTTTTGCTGTGTGCTTAGGGCCATTGCCCTGTTGGAAGTTGAACCTTCTGCCCAGTCCGAGGTTCTGAATGCTCTGCACTAAGTTTTCATTAAGGCTATCTCTGTATTTTGCTGCGTTGAGCTTTCCTTCTACTCTGACGAGTTCCTCAGTCCCTGTTGATAAAAAACACCCCCACGGCCCACAGCATGAGGCTGCTACCGCCAGACTTGACTGTTGGGATGGTACTGTGCAGGTGATGAGCAGTGCCTGGTTTCCTCCATACATGATGCTTGGAACTAAGGTTCATCAGACCAGAAAATCTTGTTTCACACAGTCTGAGAGTCCTATGGGTGTTTTTTTCCTATCAGTGTTTTTTGTAAATTCCAAGTGGGTTTTCATGTGTCTTCACTGAGGAGAGGATTGAGTCTGGCCACACCGCCATAAAGCCCAGATCGGTGGAGTGTTGTTTCTCAGTGATGTTTCTCCCAACTCCATATATGATCATGGAGCTCAACTAGAGTGACCATCAGCTTCTTGGTCACAACTCTAACCAAGACCCTTCTCCATCGATTGCTCAGTTTGGCCAGAAGGCCAGCTCTAGTAAGAGTCCTGGTTGTTCCAAACTTCCTCCATTAAGGATAATGGAGACTGCATGCTTCTGTGAACATTCATTCCTGTCTCTCCATTCTACAGGCAGTTCTTTTGACCTCGGGGCTTGATTTTTGATCTGATATGCATTTTAAGCAGTTTTGCACCTTTTGTTGAGGGGTGTGTGCCTTTCCAAATCATACCCATTTAACTGAATTTGCCAAAGGTTAACTCCACTCGAAGTGTAGTAATATCTACACGCAATATTGGAATGCTCCTAAGCTAAATTTCAAGTGTCCCAGAAAAGTGTATGAATACTTATGCAATGTCATTATTTCTGGGGGTTTTTGTGTGTGTGTTTTTTATAAATTTGCTAAGTTTTTAGCAAATCAGTTTTTTGCCTTGTCATTATAGTGGATGGAGATTAGATTGATGTGGGAAAATTATCATAAGGCAGCAGCATAACAAAACGTGAAAAAAGGCACTGTATATATGCCCCTTGAGTGGCCTGTACAGTAAACTAAGTTCAACAAGGTTACAAACCTGCACTTTTCTTCTCTTCTTTTTAAATTTTTTTGAGTCTCTTAAGCATCCCCCGCAGGTCCGTGATTCCATACTGGAAGGCAATCTTTTCATACTCTGATGGTGAAGACTTCTGGAGGATTTCCCATACGTCTACCTCAGGCTCTGTGCTCACATGAGCAGCTCTGCAGACCCACAACAGTGGATAGAAATTGATCAGGACAGGTAAATCAAGTCTAAACATCTTGTATCATCACAATGTTTGGGTTTAAAATTGTTCTTTAAAAGTTTATTAAAGGGATAGCTCACCCAAAAATTTGAATTATGTCATTATTTACTCAGCCTGATGTTGTCAAACCTGTATTACTTTTTTTTCTAAAGAACCGCAAAAAAGAAGATAATTTGAAAATGCGTTTCATCCATACAGTGCACATCAATGGGGTCTAAAACAGCAATGGACTCCATTGACTTTGATTGTATGGATAAAAACAGTTTTTGTTCTGCAGAAGAAAAAAAGTCATACAGGTTTGGAACAACATAAGGGTGAGTAAATGATGACAGGCATTAAAGTGAAAGTGAAAGTGACGTGACATGTGGCCAAGTATGGTGACCCATACTTAGAATTAGTGCTCTGCATTTAACCCATCCTAAGTGCACACACAGCAGTGAACACACACCCGGAGCAGTGGGCAGCCATTTATGCTGCGGGGGTTCGGTGCCTTGCTCAAGGGCACCTCAGTCGTGGTATTGAGGATGAAGAGAGCGCTGTACATTCACTCCCCCCACCTACAATCACTGCCGGTATGAGACTCAAACCCGCAACTTTTGGGTTACGAGACCGACTCTCTAACCATTAGGCCACGGCTTCCTTAAGCATGTTAGGTGCTCTTTATTAAAATATAGAAATGCAATGGCAAATAAATAGTAATAAATGTTAATGAATGTTATTAAATAGATTTTTATTCTGTATGTCTAAAAAAATCTTACCGTGGGCCAGTTTTTAAGAAACTGCTGTACTTATGTAGAGGCAGAATCCAAGCGTCAAGCATGGTAAGACAAACCACAGCAGATTATTGCACATTATCAAGCTCTCAGATCACATAACAATGCATTGTTAAACCATCAAGACCATTTTACAGTTCAATTTTTATAAAGGCACTTAAAGCATGCAGTCTACATTGTCGCCCATAGAAACGTCCTCCTTATTCAAATGTTTTATCTTCATGTGCCTCTTGTGTTTATTAAACTAAAAGGGTTAGAAACTATTTACGTGAACGTACAGTGTTTACTGACATAACCAATTTGCTATGCTGTCAGAGTCAGTGAATGTGGTATGAATGCGTGGAATGTGAAATGACGTAAGAATCGTGAGACTTCTAGGATTATGTGATTAATTAGGACTATATGAGTATGATGAAGGAGTTTGCTAAAAATAATTCAAACGTGACTCTGTCTATCTAGTTCCAAGTGGGTGTGCAGTCTGCAGAGTGGAAAAACCTAGAAGGACTAAAGTTAGCAATCAGTGGGTGATTAGGAGAGAGAATAATCAAGGCATCACACACACACACATACACGGCAATACAACATTCCTTCATACACAACCAGTCAGTTCAGTGTGACACACTTACTCTCTGAATATGGGAGTGGAACAGCCACAGAGGAGAAAAACTGAAAAAATATAAACATAGATAAGCCTTAGAAGGAAAAAAAACATTTAATAAATAAATAATGACTAAGTAAAGCCTACAATTCAGTGTTTGAAATCACACACTTTATAAATCTTTAAAAAAATCTTGGATTCAAAATCTATTTTAGGCTTCAATAATAAACAGTATGTTTCACACTGTTAAAGAAAAATTAAAGCACACATATGATGTAAAATGAATAAGAAATATTTTAGATTTTGTTAGCTTCAACCAAAGACCCTTACAGGCATCAAAGTACATCTAAAGTCTTCGATTCAACTATTCATAGGTCACTATCAAACACTGAGCATGTGAATTCCTTTGTACAAGTGTCAGGTTTTATTGCTTACTTTGAAGAACAAGATGTTTTTTTGGATCTTGCTCAAATCATGTTAGCTCATGTTGATGTCATTAAAGGTAAATAGTTTCAAGGCAACTTTTGACTTACATTGTTCACTTAAAATATTGCATTTTCATCAGTGGTCTCAGATTTTGGACCCACACTGTATTCACTGGGGACGTTTTTGGACAGATAGAGAAAGTAGACAATGAATGTATGTGACATATTAGATCTCTAACTAAAGACTCACCTCTTTTTCAGTAATGCACTGAAGTCCAGTTCTCCTGAGTCTTCACCTGCATCTGTGCTACTGTACGAGAGAAACGAATCACAGGCCACAAAATATTCTCACCTCATTATAAGATATGTACATTTTAGGGAAAACAGCTTCTATAAGATATATAATATGCAGTCATTTATTAAAAATGGATATGTATTTAATAAATTGTTTTGTAAAAGAACAGAATATCAAGCATGTTGATGCAAATGACACATGTCCAGGATGTATTATTATCTATGAAACATATGGAAAAGATGAACACTACTGTTCAAAAGTTTTGGGGTCGATAAGATTTTTAAATGTTTTTGAAAGAAGTCTGTTATGCTCTCCAAGGCTATATTTGTTTGATCAAAAAATTACAGTCAGAACAGTAATATTATTAAATATTATTATTAAAATAACTGTTTTCTATTTTTTATATATTTTAAAATTTTAAAAAGGTCAAAGCTGAATTTTTAGCAGCTATAACTCATGTCCTAAGTGTCACACAATCCTTCAGAAATATTTCTAGAATGCTGATTTTGTACTCAAGAAACTTTTATTTTGATTATTATTTATTAATGTGTATTATATTATAAATACACCCTTGCTGAATAAAAAAATATTAATTTCTTTAAAAAAAAAAGTTTTAAAGATGGATCTTATTGACCCCAAATATTTGAATGGTATATACTGACACATATATACAAGAACATATGGGACTGGTGTGTAGATGCACAAACAATACATGCACTTTATACAGATATCATTAAGTTCCACTGAGGCAATAGAAACTGGAGCAGAGCTGCACTATACTGTAAACAGGCTTTGTTGGCAAAGTTGAGTTAAAGACACAGAAATGCTGATGTACAGAAGAAATCCATAGCAGACTTCCGCTATATGATCACACATGACATAACTGTACATATCAAAGATCTAGGCATCTATATGTCTATTATAAGGCAACAATATTATAATAAGTGATCATCTTGATGCTAGAGCCTTCTCTCTGATCTGTAAAGCTAGTAGTATTTGAAAGATGTGAATCTATGACCCATGATGAACTGTCTTTAAGGAACTTCTTAAAGACACGAAGAGGAGCAACAAAACAGACACGTCACTCAAAGTTTGTGCCGCTGGTTCCACTGATTTTGACAAGGTGTCAGCCAAAGTTAAGAACTGCATCAAGAGATTTCTGCTATTACGTTTCAAATAACCAGAATTAAAGTATTTCATAACAGTCACGGACAAATGCGGTTTCTGATTAAACTGGTGGCAGCGTTACTAGTGTGATCCTCTAATTTGCTCCCTCTTAATCAGTGTCTGCACTTGAAAAGATCAGTGGACAGGGAAATCGTATTCACTTTAAGGCCCTCTGCCTCTGATACACCAGTAATGAGTGTTTGGAAATTGCCCTTCTCACAAAAACAGAGAAAAGTGTGAAAAGAGATGGAGGAAGACAACAGAAAGGAAATGGGACTTTGCAAAGGTCCTTGGAGAGTGAGTCATAAAGCGTCAGCAGTGACTAATATCACTCTCCTTAGATGTTGCAGACAAAGGGAGAAGATTGAAAAGGACAGAAAGAAAAGGGCAAGCTATAACCGATGACTGATAGAGGGACACGGATGGACACTGAAGGACACAATGAACTCTTTTGATGACAAATCAGCAGTGTTGGGCTAGTTACTCAAAGAATGTAATATATTACTCAATACTAGTTACTCATTTCAAAAGTAATATTGTTACTTTACTTATTACTTTCTGGCAACAGTAATTAGTTACACTACTAGTTACATTACTTTTTCTTCACGCCCCACAGAAGTTGTAACTGTATCTTCCCCATAAAATTCTAGTGATTGATAGTGATATTCAAGTAGAAGTGTTGTATTAATCTCATTAATTGTCACGTGTAGCTTGAAGCTAATTGTCATTTCTCCGTTACCCATATACGATTATATTTATATTTATATTAAGTTTGCAAGAAAAAACAAAAATTTTCTAAAAAGATTTTTAATTATAGTAATATGTACCACATGCTGATCAGAGGGATGTTGGTGGGATGTAATGCCAGAGTAAAGTAAAGCCACAACTTACACAACAGTGCTCAGATCATCTTTTTTCCTGACAAAATCAATATAATGCAATATTTCTATCTGCTGAATGTAAGCTTTTCCATATTCCAAGCTTGCCTGCTGCACTGGGGACATCACATGCATGTGCGAGTCATGAAAATTATGAAAATAAATCTAGGAATTATTTGATTGTTGGATTTTAAATCAGCGGGGTTGAGGCATCAAAAGTAAATAATTAACTAAGCTGTTTTATGGATGGTAACTGTAATATTATTACTGAAATCTTATTAGTAATTAGTTACACTACTAGTTACTGCAAAAAGTAATATTATTACAGTAACTAAGTTACTAGTTACTGCCCAACACTGCAAATCAGAGGGTTTGGTTGGGTAAAGACAATGACTGTGAATATATCCCCTGCTGCAGCAAACCCCATTAGCTACCTGCCAGGCTCTCCCATCTTCTTCTTACCACCTGCACTGATGCTCCTGGGTAATCAGCAGTTTCAAAAAGTGTTAACGCAATAGAAATACAAAAATTTAAATCCCAAATATGACTTAACATAAAAACAAACCACATAAAGAAGCACTAGGATCTACGCACACAAAATCATCAAACCAACACACCACACGACATTCAAGAAAGCAAACAAACCAGGTAAGCACTTTAATATGTTGCTGAAATAGCACGATACTGCTGGTCTGCATGAGTCACGTCACTTTTTAAAATTTTATGAAGCAAGTGTTGAAATGAATAGTTTGTAGTTTATTAAAAACACAAAGACAAATACTCATGTGCGTCTAAATGCAGTGCGAATATCAAACCCATCTGTTGTACGAGCCTCTGTGAAATGCACACATTACCAATTAATTTGGAACAATTATCAATTAAAACAAATAATTCATTCCTTGTTGATATTTATCAAGCATGCATTTAGTTATTTTTATTACCATGCACTGCCAGGTCAAAATTGCAGCTGTCAAACTTGTCTCTAGAGGACACCTCACAACGATAAGCTCCAGCGAAGTTGGCTTTAGCTGCAATGATATGCATCTCGAAGGTGTACACCTGAATAGAAAAAGGTGTTTGGTTAATTTTGCTAATTTTTGACTTTCAAGCTTTTCTAAACATATCAAGGTAGTATATTACACAACTGTTTGGTATTGACCATTGCCAGACCTTCGTGTTGCGGTCATAGTGCTCTTTGAGTTGAAGGTGCTTTCCTGACTTGCTGGCCAGATCCATCCACTTTCCTTTGAACCATTTTACTGTGGGCTTCTTCAGCAGAGATTCACCACACACCCGAGCAACAAAAGTAATGTTCTCACCTAAATGGGGGAACAGATTGGAAGATAATTTTTATTTCATATGTACTATCCATTTCTTAGTGACTAGAGGCCCTGTTACTCACCTACATTTACCTCCCCACTTTGAGGCCTTTCAGTGAAGAGACCAGTAAGGTCCTGCCTTGTGTCAGGCTGATGACTCTCAGGCAGACCTAGAAGAACAAATAGAAAAATAGGTTTGTTATCCAGTGAATCTTACATTTTTTAAATGTTTCATAAAACTAATTTGCATATTTAAATATGCCTGTGTGTTTTTATATTCACCTTCAGGTGCTACACCATCTGATGCGGTTCCACTGGTGTCTGCTGCTGAGCTTTCAGTAGGTGCTGATGGAGTCTCTTTAGGTTCTTCAGGCTTAGGCTCTGCAACTGCAGGATCTGGGGATACAGCTTTTTGTGGTTCCTTTACTGCAACAATAAAAAAATCCTTAAAATGGCTTTCAAGCAGATGAAAACAAGTGATAATAACCCATTTGGGTCAGTGTTGATGAATGTAAGTACCTAAAGCCTTACTTCCACATTACAAATTCATAATTCGTCATTTCTGCATCTATAAAAGGAATTCAATATAAAAAAAGTCTAGGCCAAAGCAAGATGCTAATTCTTTAGCTCATAAGGCTCTTGAATATAGCGTTTTAAACTTAAAGCCTGATTTTGTTTGGAGAAAAATCGGACACTAAAAACATTCCACACATATTGCCCTCAAAACACACTATACCTGTCTGTTAATGAACAAGCTTTTGCTTGCAAAGTTTTGTCCTCATGGGCCTTTTATTGCTTTGATATTGCTCTCTTCAGGATTCTAATGGCCACACATTATTAGGATAGAGTCTTGCTTTTTCATCTTCTGTTGATGAATGTAAGTACCTAAAGCCTTACTTCCACATTACAAATTCATAATTCGTCATTTCTGCATCTATAAAAGGAATTCAATATAAAAAAAGGTCTAGGCCAAAGCAAGATGCTAATTCTTTAGCTCATAAGGCTCTTGAATATAGCGTTTTAAACTTAAGGCATGGTATATGTTGGGCCTGGTAAGCTAAGACTATAGCCTCGACTAACCAGTGGGCAAATCTTTATTTGGAGACAGCCTTTCCCTTCTGCTGTCCTCCAAAGCAGACAAAGAGCTGGTCTGAGGTCCTGAAGCTCTGCGTACGGTCCACGTAAGTGCGCAAAGCGCGAACGGGACAGAACCACTAGACTAGACGGTGTAACATTTCCATAGCAGTGACTCTTGACTTAAAGGAGTAGTTCACTTCCAGAATGAAAATCCTGTCATCATTTACTCGCCCTCCACTTGTTCCAAACCTGAATGAGTTTCTTTCTTCTGTTGAACACAAAATAAGATATTTTGAAAAATGTTCCATAGTATTTTGTTTCCTTCTGTGGAAGTCAGTGGTGCCCATCAACTGTTCTGATTTTTCAAAACATCTTCTTTTGTGTTCAATAGAAGAAGAAGCTCATACATGTTTGGAACAAGTGACGGGTGAGTAAATGGTGACAGAATTTTCATTCTGGAAGTGAACTACAACTACTCCTTTAAGTGTTCGCTCAGCTTTCTGTAGCACAGCTTCCCGTCAAAATAATAGCTAGCATTTAGACAAGATAATGCAAGATAGGCTTTTTTTTTGTTCTTGTGTGGAAAAATGAATATGAATGCTTCCTGTTTGCTGATTGTACATGTACAATGCAAGACAGGGAACATATCAACATCATAAGACATGCCATACTGAAAAAAACTCATGGACTCATGACTAAAGATATAAATCAGGACAGCATTAAAATGGTAACTATTTTGACAATGAGGAGCACACGTTTCTCATCTTTCTACTTAGTTTTCTTAGCACACTTTGAAATATTCTCACAAAATCTAAGAAATTTAGTAAAGGAGGCTTTACATTTCTTCTATTTACATGCCATGTGTAAATGTGATATTT